TATGTAAGTAAATATAATTTCTATCAATTTACACTTCCTGTGATTTACAAGCTTTTTGGTTTTTAAATCCTTGAAAAGTATAAAAAAGGAGTTTTACTGTATATCATTATTAAAATAAATACCCTTTTCACTTTTCAAGGTCAGTGTATCCTCTACTTATATACAGACAGTTAAGTGCCAGAAAATATTTTACTTGGTACATAAACTTGGATATTGATTTTAACTGTTTAATATCTGGCAATTAGTTGTAAAATGTAACATGTATTTTATGTCGATTGCTTGTAGTGAGCAGTTGATACTGGCTTATGAATATGGCTCCTCTGTCATGATTTAAAATGATTGATAACTGTATTGGATGAAAATGATTCCACTCTTTAGTAAGTCTGTTTTCTCAAAACTGCTGATTTATATATGAATACACATGGCAATGGTAGGAGTGGTAGGTGTACCTCAGTGAAGAGAAGCTTGCAGGTATAATGTGGATGGCTTTGGCTTATTATTTTTTTCTATCTAAAAGTCTGGGTCCAGTAGGATGTGTAGGATAGGTCATATTTCAGCCATTTACAAAATACACTCCATAAACACGTGAGAATGAAGGCTGATTGAATAAAAATAAAATGTGAATGTGTAAGATAGTTAACTTAATTAATGCAGCGTTCAATTAATTTATATGTTCATACCATTTAAAGTTTCACTGATTCAAGAGACCCAGTAATTTTCTTACTTACTGTCAACCAATTGCACATTATTCATTTGCAAAGGCATGTGCAGTTTAAAAGCACTTAGAGGAATCTAAAGCATAAATTTATAAAATAAAACCACAAACATTAATCATGAAAAGATATAAATATATTATGTGATTTTTCCAACTCTGCCCTTGGCAGGTTGATAGTTTCATCTAATTGTGGGAGCTTAAACATTACCATAGTGATGTCACTATGGTGATTGAATGAAACCATCAACACCTGATACCTTTCAGGGGTAGAGTTGGAAAAATCACAGTATAGATTATTTTTAATTTCACTAATTTAAAACAAATATAAGTTCAAAGTAAAATATTTTCTGCTGCAGAACCATTGCTATACAATTCAAGGATATACTGACCATCAAAAAGAAAAATATTTATTTTGACTTTGATATTTTGTGAATTAATTAAGATTTGATATGTTGAATTTGAAAAGACTAAATACATCTTGTAATAGGCTTCAGCTTCTGATTAAAAGCCATCTTAATTAGGTTTGACATCCAGTTTCACTGATCTATTGAGCAAGTACTGAGGTGACCGCTTGTTTTGATTCTGGACATAAATGTAGCATCACTATGTGAATATTTTGCTGATATCTCCATCTGCTAGTTTTTTTTAGAAATAGAGTAGGGGGTATGGATTGTTATTTTGTTGCCAATATTGTTAATTCAAATCTGTAGTGATAGTGTATTTTTACTGACACATAAGTTTTCTAGAACTTGGGAATGCCAGTCTCTAGTTTTTCAAATGCTGCTAACCTTGCTGTGTACTTTTTGATGGTGTATTGCACAAACATATGTTCATTCACTCATGACCTTTTTTAATTTAGTATAACTTTTGGAGACATCTTGTTCACATCTACCTAGCTGACAAAGTTTGTATGTCCAAATAAGAAGTATCATGCTGTCTCCCAGAAGGCAATCAAAAAACCTTAACCCAAATAAAAATGCTTATTGTCAGTTTTGTATCTAAACTTCTTGTTACTTTCTCGCTACCCCTTACGTAGTAGAGAGAAAGTTATGTAATGCGCGCGTAAGAACGGCGAATTTCCGGCAGAAAAACTCAAATTGCGTGGCTGTGGTACAAAAGCAAAAATCCAGTTGCGATATTTAGGAGAAAGAATTCTCTACCACGTGGTGTAGCCAGAATTCATGTTTTGTGGGTCCTTGATACGATTGATTGATACGACGAAAAATCGATTGACGGCAACACGTCTGTTTGGTATATATACACAACGCTAGCGCCTAAAATAAGCATTAAACTTGTTTCAAAGTAAATAGCTCTCAATCTGGCCGAAGTCGAAGCTCTGCAATTTTGAAAAAACAAAAAAAAATCATTAAATTTTAAGTGTACTTTACATGAAGCCGACAAAGTGCATTTTCAAAATTTTCTCAAAAAGAACTCAAACTTTTTTCTTTAAATTTCTTGTAAGAATTGGAGTGAAATACACTTTTAAAGATGGCATAGGTCCGACATTCACTCATGACTCGGAATTTCCGAAAGTTGCAAGAGGATTTATTTCTTTTGTTCTGGTTGAAGATAGGGATTTTTCTTTCCGATAAAATTTGTTCTCTATATTTAGTTCTTTCAATATAGTCATGTACATTTTTACTTTCCCGTATACGTACGTATATACGAAGTAATATACGTAATATAGGGAATGTTATGGAATGCTACGGAAAATCGATTTCGACGGAAATACACGTTTTGTGATCCCCTAATACCGAAAACGTGTTTTTTTTTCTTTTTTAAAACGTCCGCCTGCCCTTCCGCCCGTCAACACTGCTAGCTTCTAAATCATACGTAGGATTTTTTCCAAATTTAAGAAACCCGTGTCGATCTGGCTCAAGTCAAATCTTTGAGATTTTGAAAAAAAATCTTTCCCACAAAAAATTACACAAATGTAATTTTTTAAAGATATCTCTCATGCCTTTAATCTGCACATTTACAGTAATTTCTATACATTATCACATTTGTGAGCAGAAGTACTTCAAAAGATTCCTGTAAAAAAGAGCGTCAAATTTCAAATTTACAGTAATTCTTAAATACCATTTTCTTGAAAACACTTCAAACTTTTTAATGCTTATTGGCCAAGGTTTTACTCTTCTTTAATATTCTAAAAGTAATGTTTCAAATTCACCGTTTGAAAATCGAAAAATGGAGAAAACTTAAAAAAAAAAAGAAAAGTATTAAGGGTGGCTGATAGATGGCAGCTGGTAAGATGGAACAAGATCATATAGCTAGCCCACATCAAGAAAAGAAAACTACTACGAGAAAGTCTTTGCCATTTTGTAGCACCATTAGTTACTGCATCAGTGAGAACTTCAACAGTACCTTATATTTGCAGTTACATTATATATGCGGCGGCGATGGTGTAACGGTTTGCGTACTGGACTGTTGTACCCAAGTTGGGGTCAAACCCGATCGAAGCCGTGGATTTTTAAGGGCGAAAAAATCCTTCGTACGCCTTCCTTCGGAGGGGAAGTAAAGCCGGCTGTCCCATGTTCGTAGATTTACTTGCATGTAAAAGATCCTCAAGCCTAAATGACGCCTCTGAGCTAAATTCAAATCGCCTGTTTCTCGCCCAAGAAATGCCTCCTTTCTCTCCTAGTTGGTGAAAGGAGCGTAGCGAAATTTGCGTGGTCAGACGGAAGAGCGGGCCTGATGGCCCGAGTCTCGCCACGTAAAATAAGGCAAATTCAATTCAATTCAATTATATTGAATTAGTCTTTGTAAAAAAAAAATTCTCATCACCAAAAGAATTGTTACTCAATGAAGTAATTATTGAATGTTTGAATTTTATGACTAAAATTCCTTCTTTTTCTCTTCTTCATTGCAGGGTAAAATTCCCATTTTCCTTTCTTTTTTAAATTCTTCGTATGATCCATATTAAATACAGGATGTTTTACTTCAGTGCTTTATGAATAAAAGTGAATAAATGGAATAATAACAAAACAGGATATCCTTTATTTTTTATTTTCTACTTTTTATTTCATAAACATTATTAACATATTCCGTAAAACCTGTCTAAGGCAAAAACCTGCCTTCATTGGAAAAATTCGCAGAAAAGACTATTTTGCAATGCAAAGTTCACTGGATAAGCTGGGAACCTGCCTTACATGGAAACGAAATTTAGCTAGCCTTGTCTGAACATCATATTTCTCAGGCTAACTAATGTGAAATCCACTGTTTATTTGTAATAGCACTGACTTTTACAAGCCCCTGTGAAGGAAAGAGACACGAAGAGCAATCCTTCGACAGTTCTTGTAATGGGTGCTTTGGGTTCAGTGGTTCTAAATGTTTACTGTTGTTCATTTCGAAGAGTTGCAAGTGTTTTACTAATCAAGTGTTTATGATGTCACACAGCAAGTTGAAAACACTAACTCTTGCTGAGAAATTAGACTAATTGAAGAACACGAACAAAGCAAAACTTCTGTCAAGGTTTTGATAAAGAAAATTTAAAGTTGGAAAAATTGAAAAGACAATATCAATAATGAGTGGTTAAAAGAAATGTTTTGTAGGTGGTGGCCACAATATTCACTATGATCTAGATGAATAGCTAAGCCTAAATCATCTGGTGAATTCATATGTTCCAACAAATATTGAAGAAAATAATATTTCTTTTTATGGAGTTTTCGTTAGTTCATGTTGCATTTCTGTGTCCTTTTCTGTTTCTCAGGGGTCGACTTCTTTATTTGAAATATGTAGTTTTTAAGCGAGGTAAACTATTGTACAACCTATTCCGTCTTCGAAAGATTGCTTTTTCTGAATTTTTAATGCAAACCTGAATAAGGTGAAAATCTGTTCAAAATGGAAGAAAATGTTGGACCCAAACAATTCCGGCTTAGGCAGGCTTTACTTGTAATTGACCAAACATTAAAATATTCCAGTATTTCATTTAAGAACTCTAATTTGAAATGGAAACAGGTTGGGAAAATATCATGATTAACGGCATTTAAAACATCGATACTTTTGTCGATGCTTCATCATCAGCAAATTTCTTTTGGTGAATTATCAATGTTTTGATAAAATTTGTCATTACAACCTACATGTGTTGCACATTGAAACGTGGCCTCAATGTGAGGAATGTGTCCTTCACATTGCTAGTATGTTTATGATGGGAGTTAATCATTGCAGTAATTCAGCAACTGTGTTTTATGAAGTTCAGATATCTTGTATAATTGCAACTGTAATGTATACATGTATTCATCATTAGGATCAGTGATTTTATTACTAATCATTTATGAATTTTCAGTTGCAGCCAGGAATAGGTCCCAGTAATGATGTCACCAATTCTCCGCTTTCTCTGGCACATTCCTCCTCTCAGATGATCACCACTTCAATGGCAGCCACATTGGGGACGAAAGAAGAAAGAAGGGAGCGGAAACGTAAATTAAATGTGGCAGAACTCTTCCACTTTAAAAAAAGACCTCGCATAGACAACCCGTCTGTTGCTGCTTGTTTGGAGAATAGAAAAAAGGCTCAACGAGGAGGCGGATTTGGAAGTCGTGGAAGGAAAAAAGGCCAATGGACAGAAGACATGTCTGGTGTTGATTCTTCATCTATTGACGTTAAAATAGATAAAAATCCCGTGGGAATGTCTCAAGAAAAAAAAGAAAATGTGTTGGCTGATGTGCTGAGTGTGGAGAGTAAAAGAAGAGAGAATATTGTAAAAAACCGAGGAAAAATTAGCAAATTAGATAATAATTTGACTGTTAAAAGGTCCAAGAGTGAAATGTCTGGACAGAGGATTGATGAAGAGGGCAAGCCAATGAGTGGAAAAAAGATTGGGCGCAAAATGAACAAATTCAAAGAAGGGGCAAGGAGGTCCCACTCAGCCACACAATCCAAGAGAGACAAAGGTGAGCGTGCAATGACAATAGAATCATGTTAAATATTTCTCGCTTTACCTTCATCTCAAAAAAGTGTGTGTACAGGTCTTGAAGATTCTGATCAGCGGGGCCGGAAGAAGGAAGACGGTGATGGTAGCAGACCTGCTCGGGCTGTAGACGATTGGGAACCGATTGGAGAACCAGCGTACATAGTTGATGGAACTGATGGTATGATTTTTCTTGCAGTAGCGAATGCAATTCATTTAAACTAATACTGCTACAACAGCAGATACTTTCTTGTCTATTTGATAACTGATAGAGAGTATTGTATTGCAAATTCGAACCCACTAACATTTCAGCTATCTTTAAAATCTCCTAAAAAACAGAACACATACACATACAAACACACACACACAAAACAAACAAAAACAATAAAAAAAGAAAAATCAAAGAAAAAGGAAAAAGGTGAATAACGGAATCTTTTATATAATCTATAATAGAAAATATAAATAATCTATAATAGTTGTTGTTGCTTTTTGAAGCCTGCTCAAAGATTTAGGAAATTGTGCAAATTACTAATGTACATTACACTCCACAAAACACATGCTGTAGTAGAGCTTTTGCTACAAAATTACACTTATATGGGACTTACGATAAACAGTGTAACAACACATAAAACATGAAACAGTACAATTTAAAACATACTGAAAACATTGTTCTGACTATTATAGCCAATTACATCAGAGGAGCTGGAATTTACTTCAAAACTTGCAACTACTGTTCTGAAATGGTTAGATATATTAATGCTTTTAGCTGGTTTTTTTTATGAACTGAATACTTACATCTTACATTTTGCCCATCGTAGGTCCTCGCAAATCAATCATAGTTGCTGATCCACGAATTCCGCCTGGCTGGACACGTCACACAATTCAACGTATGAGTGGTCATTCAGCGGGGAAGTGGGATGTGTTTTTTGTGTGGTTTGTATTTATTATATTTAAGCATTTTTCAAAATTTCGAAAATAAACCAATTGCATTGAATGCTTTAATTAATAATTTTGTTGTTAGTAAAATATTTACATTGACCCAGGAATTACATTGAGATTGGAAGTTTTTTGATGTTTTAGTTGTTACGAGTCTTCATGCTTTTCCTAATAATTAAAATTTTTGGTACATAATTAAAAAATAAATATGTAGAACATGGTGAATAAGGATTGAGAATACATCAAGATGTAAAGAAACAGTTGTAATGAAATTTTGTAGTTTTTATGAGGGAATTTCTTATTAATATGAATTAAACACAAAAAATGAAATCCATGAATGTATATCCCTTTGTAAATAGCTTAGCCATTGGCTGAGAAACTAAGACCAATTCTTCTAAAATTATAGTGAATCAATTTTTGTATGTAAAGTTTCCTTTTAGTTAAGGACATTTGGGATGAATTGTGGGTGATCAGTTACAGTAAATCACATATATGTTATTGTAGAACTTATATTTTTTATAGTGTTGTGTGTTGTTTAAAATAAAAATCATGATAGCTAATTTTGTGGCAAAACTATTCAGAGTAAATCTAGGTTGAGGTGAATTCAAACACTTCCCACATAGTATCAACAGTGTCTGCTAACCAGAAGGATTTACTTACTTTTTATTTTAGACATGAATATATAGACTTGGGTTTTAGGAAATATTTTTCTATTTCATATAAAACTATCAGGATTATGCTCCTCTGCCATTTTCCCATTCTGTCAGTGCAGCTACGACCTGATTGTTTTTATGCTGCAATTGCCCCTCCCCCTTCCCTCATTATCTCCTAGCTCAGCATTTGTTTCGTCCAATGTATATCGCCAGCGCCCTACAAAGCCAGCCTCTCACCGTATCCTGCAAGAGCTCAACCTTGCCCCACGACAGACAACAGCGCCCACCAACAATCAAGCCCAGGTGGATTGGGAATTGCATTAACTGAAGCACCTTCTTCTGCTGCAGTGCCATCTAGTGGAGAGTTACAACATTGTGAAAAGTATAAAATCTTCCATTGAAAAAGCATGTAAAATGTGTCAAGCTTCATGGAGATCTGTCAATGAGTGTCAGAGTTTATCTATCTCAGACAAACCAATATCCATTTTTATACACCTAGATTAACTGTTATAGAATTCGGAACATTGATTATTTTTTTACCTCTCTTCTTTTTCTGTTCCTCTTCTTCATCATCTTCATGTTCAGGGGAGGGTGGTCCAGAAAAATTTGAGCACCTTGCTGGAGTTGATGCCAATGTTTTTAGTAAAACTTCAAAAGAATTAAAACCTACAAAACTTGTTACTTAATGATTATTCACAATTATTCCCGATTGTCCTTAATTAAAAACACAAAATAAATATTCGAACAAAAGACTTGTGTCTTTTCAAAAGATATGTCTTTTCATTATAGAATTGAAATTGTCTCTTGCAACATCTTTTAAACATTTTTATAATTAATATAGACTTGCAATCACTTCATGTTAAATGATGGAAAGCATTGTCTTCTATTGCAGTCCAGAAGGGCGTAAATTTCGCACACGCCATGAATTACGTTTATATTATGAAGAGCGTGGAGAAATATTTCCTTCTGAGCAGTTTGACTTTTCGCTGGGTAGACGCAAGAATAAAGCAGCAATGGAACGTGAAGGAAACAGTGCAATGTCATCATCTTCTGCCGGATGTATGTCAAATAACAAAACGTAAGTATCATGCTTTTCATTGAAATGCAAATAAAATTATAAATGTTAAAAAAACAAACATTTTTTTAAAAACTGATTACATTCAAAATGTCGAAACTACAATGTAACATCTGTTGCAAAAATACTCACCTTATTTAAATAAAATTTATAATTTTATGAACGTTCTTCAACTCCTTTGTAAAAGTTGTAAAAAACTTATTCTTGACCTATGTGTGTTTGTTTTATAGTAATTTACCGATTTTATATAATTGCCTGAAATGGATGCTATGTTATTGGATTATTGTGGGTATCTGTATTAGTAATCCCTAAAGCAGATGGAAATTAAAAGAAAATGATGCAGCTACCGGCAATGAGAGGAACTAGGGGAAAATTCTAAACTTTATTACTAATTTCAAGAATTTAAAAAAACTGTGAACAGCAGATGAAACTGTGAACAGCAGATTTATTTCAAATGCACAGTTAAATAAATCCTAGTATATGCTTTCTTTCAAAACCCAGGAAATGTGAGAAAATATGAAAATTGGTTTGAATTTTGCCTGAAATTAGCTAATATTCGAGTATATTGTTTCACATATTCTCATACAGCGTATACTGACTGAATTCTCGTTCTTGCTTCACTGTTTATGATTCTTCTGATGTCATGCCCAATTGCTTGCAAAGCCTTCGGGGCATGGCATCAGAAGCTTTATTTATAATCTTTGGAGTTTACATGCTGTTATTGAACAATAATTTTCATTTCCCTCCCACTGCTTTCACAGTGTAGCAAGCAGTGCACAGTGTAGCATGGGGGGGAAAATGGTGAAATTTAGGCAGGAAAAAGTGTTATTGCCGAACTGTAACAAAAAAGTAGATAAATCTTGTTCCTATATGTTGTAAATTGCTCCCTCTAATGGTAGTCACTACCAGTAGAGATAAGCAATCAGCCTGGTACTGATTCTTGTTCAAAAACTTGGTCAACAGGCAGTGGCCCTTAGGAACTTACAATGGAAGACATTGCCTCCTCGAAAGCAAAGAGGGTGCCATCCCCTAATTAGGCGGCTGCTATAGTTTTATAGATGAATCAAGAGCTTTGTGTCATGCCTGTCCTCTGATTTTGTTTTATCTGAATCAAGAGCTTTCAGTCAGGTCTGTCTTCTTTAGTTTTGTTTTTTCTGTTATTGACACATCCCATTGCAACACTGCTGGTCAGTTGGGTCTGGACCAAAGTTTTTTTTTGAATTCCCCGCTGCTATGATGCCTGGAGATGTAACTACTGAAACTTGATTTCATAGGGCCATGCTAGATGTTAAGCCTCACTGAAACAAAAATATTTCAACTTAGATAGGAACATGGGTTACTTCTCAAAGTAATGAAGATCAAGAGCTTGCTGAGCTGGGAAATGAACTGAAAAGAAATATTCAATCCCCAATTGGACGAGAACTGTGCCAAGTTAGTGGAACTTTTGGGTAGGTCCTCTGTACCCACTGCCACCAATCTTAAAAGGCCCTATACACACGGAGGCAAATGCACCAGTAAGCAGGAGCTTTTCATGGATGATCCAATACTGTTGGCAAAGTTCATTAGAATGGGGACTGACTGTACTAGTGTCGATCAACAGCCCCTTAACAGAGATGTGGTTAATGACCTTTTCATAACCATTTGGGTTATTATGGCCTCGATTGGTCTTTCTGGAATATAAAAGGGTGATAAAGACTATTTTAACACCTGAAGTAAGTCCTGACACCATTCTATATGTGGTGCAAGTCGCTGAAATTAAATGTTGCCTGGCTGGGATGGAAAAGGTCATGCCCAAATAGAGTAGAAGTTTTATGCCCTCTGGGTGGAAACGTAATTGCCCCATACTTTTCCTAAAAGAGGGTAATGGACAAAAGTATTTGATTCAAAGTGAAGTTCAATCCATGCCAAAAAGGGATTATCCCCGAACTTGGCTTTTTTGCTAATGTTCAAATGCTTCACAAAGCAGTCTGTGACATGAAAAAAGCAGAGGATGGTATCAGTTCTGTGCAAGATATATCCAAAGCATTGAACAGCATCCAAGCATTCTCACGCAACAATTTGCTGGGCTCTGTCCAGAAAAGGGATCCTCAAGGCCTTTATCAATTTGGTAATAGACTCTTATACAGTCATTCAGCAACCCTCAAAAGGCATAGAGGTACCAATTCATTGAAGAGTTAAACAGGGGGACCCCTTTACCCACTCCTTTTGAATCTCATTGTGGAGTGCAAATTTTTTGAGAAATTGGGAAACACGCCATGATACCTGCTATTGGAGTGTGTCTGTTTTAGCATTTGCTGACAATTTGGTGCTGTTAGCAAAAGGTTCCTCAAGAGCTCAAAAACTGGTTGATATTGTGGAGCCCTTGAAATGACATTGTTCACAGCTAAGTGTTCATAATTTCAAATTACAACTTTTAAACAATCTTGGTTCATTAAGAAGGACCACTGTCCACAGAGATTTTGGAAAAGTATTCTTCTGGTCAGTATCATGGCTTAAAAAAAACAACTGATGGACAGAGAGATGGAGGAATGAGATTGCTGTGGCTTGTTCAACATGTTCCTAGGGGGAACTGAACCTAGGATTATGATTAGAAAAATCTGCAGATCTTTTTTACAGACAGCTAAGTTTATGTCTGCATTTCTACCAACAGATATAATAATTAAAATAATAAGATAATATAAATTTATCATCAAATTTGACATATGCAATTTGCAATCTGTAATGAAAATGTTTATATTATATACTTTTAAATCAAAATTTTGATGAGATGAAACTCATACATTAGTTACACAGAGGGCACGTCACCCCTCCTATTCCTACCTTGCTATGCCATTACTCTATATTACATAAGTAGAATATGAGAAAGTTTTTAAAGAACATGACTGACAATAATTGACAATCATTTTAGTAATTTACACCTTTCACTAATATTTTATTATTTCAGAGGGCGTCAAGCAGGTGTGGGTTCGACCCCACTGAATTTAGGTCCAAGCGTGGAGTCTTCTGGTGATACCCCGGTACGACGTGTGAAAACTCTCTTGCCACGCATTCGGCCGCTGAACGCAGAAGGTGGCCTGCCACCATCAGTTCTACATGGAACACCAGGAAATGATCCTGTGGAAGATCTTTCTTTGTTATCTGATGGTTCAGGTAAACGTCATTTTAGTAGTTATTATAATCACAAAAGTTATAAATGCTTGACTTATTAATTAACCGAAATAATATTTTACTTCATTTCAAAAATACATTGAAAAGTGAACATTCAATTGGATGGACCTCACAATATTTGTGACTGTCAAGAATCTCTTTACTCATAGATAGTCTTTTAAATGTTTCATACTTGTATTTCATACTTATTTGTGCTTAAAAATTATATTTCAGTACTTGGTGGACTGAAAATTCAGAAAGAGAACGATGCTTTTAGATGCCCTAAAGAGGGATGCAATAAAAACTTTCGAAAGGAGAACCTTCTACAGGTTGGTATATCTGTTTTAATAGAATCTGAATCTTAGGTTTATTTCTAATGTGATGATTAAACACATGTTGTGAGTCAAACGTACATAATAAAATATGAATTTGACAGATATTTCGAATGAAGATGAGACTGTGGGCCAAACAGTATATCCATGTGTTATGCATGTTATGAGCTTGGGGTTATACCCATCAATGTTAGATTAATTACCCTAACTGAAATTCAAATATCTTTCTTTTTAGATTTGACAGCTCCTTAGCTTATTCATTGATGTAATTTAAAAGTGCATGGTTTTGAATCACAGATTCTGCTGACAACTGAGATGACTGATGTTACCTTAGTTTTCTTTGCTTCTGCCCAGTATGCAGGGTGGGTCATTAGTCGGGCTCTTTCTCATCCTTCCAGACCTGTTTATGACTACAATCCTTCAGGCATTGTAGCTTGTGTCGCTTTTTGTAGAATGATTTGTCTGATTCAGCTGTGTCATGTCAACTGTAGCATACCACCAAGCTTGATGCTTTCACATTGTAAGTTGTGAGAAGGAATGTACACAACATGTGTCTGATATGTTCAAGTTTCTCTCTTGTTGTTTCACTGTGACTCTTAGTCTCACTTGTGACCCTCGTCTCTCTCCTGTGTTGGGCTTTGCTTAAACTCTCCCTGTTTCCTCCCCTGTACATCTAGGGCTAATAACATTAAAATTATATTCATTAACATATTGAAACTAATAAATTTCAAAGAAAATGGTTTTCATGCAAATGGTCAGTCAATAAAATTGTTGCCACTAAAAAATGTGTCACGTATTGTCTTGTGCTCCAGGTATTACCTTTCTGTGTCCTTAAATTGTTGGTGAAACCTTCAGCCCTGTTCTCCTCTCAATGCTCCAAGCTTTCCTGGAAAGCAGTCTAAATGTGAGACAAGTAAATGCACTTTCAGACTCATTACAACGTAACTGAATGCATTGTATTTTTCCGGGCCTTGTACCTGGGGTGGCACAAGATCCTGCCCAGCAGGTACTTTTCTTGAAAATGTTATTGACCAGCACAACTGAATTCTTTTACATTTTGGAAATTACACTCCCTTTTCCCTGGCTTCAAACCTTTCTCATTCTCATTTTCATTCTTTGATCTCATGATCTACTGTCTGTCTCTATCTACCATCTTAGAGTGAACCTCTCAATGACTTACATAGGAGTGACCGTTTCCCTACTATGGTTAACTTTGATATTCCTGTTATAAATATTTGCAAACCCGTCGTGCTAAATCATCAAGCTGTCTGAAAAGAAACCGTTCAGCAAATAAATATGAATATCTTACTATTTTTCAAATGACATTGATGGTGTCCCATTTCACTGATGGCCTTCTTCTCACATCTTCCACTGCAATCCTGAAGTCTGAAGGCTGGCTATGGCACTCCCCTGTGCCTTGGTAAAATTCCAATTGTGTCTCCGCGATTGCGTGACTGAAAGCGGGTACTGGCGATGCTCAATCGATTTCCCACCACTGCCAATTTGATCACTTACATGGCCAAAATCTAAACATATGTGACATCCCAGAAAGGTTGTACTCTCACAAAATCAACAGTCCTGCTCTACGAGTTCTATAGATAACAGGGCAATAACCACTAGCTGGACAAGTACAGTTGTTGGTAAATTCTTTGTTTTTAAGAATTGATCAACTAAAGCATTGTGAACTTTGTTTTGCTAGTGACCTCATCCAGGTCCTTCACCTGAATGGTCATATTGTCAGCAAGTGATTCACATCAGCTTGCAATCCAAACACTTTCTTTATTGAAACTCTGGAACTCATGATGTCTTCCGGATCTGAGTGACATATGAACCCAAATCTTTAATCTCAGGAGCGCCTTTAACTTTTCCCAATATGTCTGCATAGACTAAGACATCGTTTTTATTTCTTATTTCCAAATCATCTGTCTTTTGAATTTTGTATGCTTTTCCTTCTTTCATTGTCTGACCTCTTGGTCCTTGAACTCACTTTATAATACGTGGAACACTGTGGAAGACATTTACATCCGGGTTTCTTCTGGATTGTCCTTCGGGCTTTTATTCAATTCCATCGACACTTTCCGTGGTGCTTGTGATTGTGCGGTGGGTTGCTGTTTTCTTTATACCCTCTGCTTTCTGTTGTGTGTATGTGTGTGTATGGAGGAGGGTGAACGGGGAGAAAGGTGTGAGGAAGGAAAGATTCTGTGTTGTCCATGGATCATTTGTTAGGGTACTGCTCCATCATTCACATGGGATTGCCAATTCTAGCTGGCTGCTAGAGTTCTCCAGAGAGGAATTGAATTTGACCCAGCTATGGAGGGATTGTCAAAAATACGCTACCATTGGGACTCAAACCCTAGGACCTTTTTGTGATTGAATCATTTGGGAAGTTGTTGCTCAAAAACCTAGTATGGAATTTTCACCGTAGTTTGTAAAAAGGTTTGTGAACATGAGCTGTTTGTTGAGGAATGAGCAAAGAGATCTGCAAGTAGATATTTGGGCTGAATACAATACTTCCCAGTATCTTTATGAATAATACAATGTGTGTCAGTTGCCATTCCACTAACATGCTTTTATTTTATTTTTTAAATTTTAATACACTGCAAATTCATTTCAAAATTTATTTTTTTAACTGTACTATTTTCTTTACCAAATTAATAGAAAAATAACTTGTTTTATCACATTCCTTGAGGAAAAGGTAATAAACTCATTACCTTTTCATATCATTGTCATCACCATGGGCTAACTTCTAATAAAATATAACCTAAAAAAAATTATTGTTATGCTAAATACTACACGATTCTATTTTACTTTTTGCAGATGCATATGAAACATTATCACCCAGAATACAATCGCTTTGTTGCATCAACACCCAATGTAGCAGACCTTGCCTATGCACGAACAGTGGGAGAACCTTTGGAGGAGTTACATACACGGACACCACGACCTTCAGTTCTTGATAAAATATCAAGATTTGAAGCCTTACGTCGTGCTCGTGCAACTCCTGGTGAAAGTGTGTCCTCAAGTCCTCCTGTTTCATCAACATTACCATTGGCATCAACTGCTGCAGCTGCCTCTGCCTCCGAGTCTTCTTTGCCCATGTCTCCACTCCATTCTGCTACGCCTAAGTCTGCGACTGGAAGCCTTCGACGTCGACTTGGAGAAGTAGAGGCAAGTGATGTCTCTCCTCTGGTGGAAACTTTGGATGCAGGAGCACCATCAGGAGCAATGCCGCGTTCACCATTAATCACTGACCATGGGGAGGTGCCTCAAACTGTAATTCGAACACTTGTGCCTGTCGTACGACCTCTTCCTGTAGAGATGACGCTTCAGTTAACATCAAATGAGGGTGAAGGGGACTTAATTAAGGGGTTGGGCAATGCAGTTTTACAAAACTCCCTTCCATCAGCTGAAACTACATCAGTTTTAGAAAAGAGGTTAGAAGAAAAAGAATTAGATACATCTTCATCAACATCAGTAGTACCCATTTCCAATGCCAGCCATACAAAATCGTTGAGAATGGTGCGTCGCCGTCATATGTCAGATTTTCATATGGAGCCACTCTTAAAGAAGCGTAAATCAGGTGAGATATTTAATATTTTTCTTATTAGTACATAATTTGATGATGTAAGAACTTCCAGCCAGGGTGCGAATTGGCAATTTTCTCCATAGAATGACATTCAACAGTCCAGGAGAGGATGATTAGAAGATTTACTGATTGAAAGGAAGTGCATTTATGCTTATACAAGAGTCTGAATAAATACTAAGAATAAATTTAGGAATGTTGTGTTCAACTTTTGTGAATTGATCATTGACCTAATTTATGAGGAACCTAATATGGGTTAATTGAACTTCTGTCAAGGAGATAATAATTTTCGATCAGGGGGCATCAAACTCTAGGTGTGAATAATTCTTGGCATCCTGTCAATTCACACCCGACTTCTGGCTTTTTGTTTTTCTGTAGATCATTCTACAGATTTGAAAAAAATTATACTTCATATTCTACCTTTAATAACCATAAATGCTTTTAATCAAAAGATTGTATTTGCTGTTGTCTACATTTTATTTTGATATTTATGAAAGTTGCAAAATTAATCTGAATGAAAATTACAAAAACTTTGTTGTTGATGACCTATAGACGATAAATAACACATTTATTGAAATCACTTCATTAGTTGAGTAATCAAATTTTTCAAGAAGTATTGCAGGAAAATGTTATTATTTGTAACTCAGCAAGGTTTTGTTTATATTTTGAATCAATAGAGCTCAAGTAATACTATCAATTACATGTAAATTAACATATTAAAAGTTTTTGGAATTTTTGCTCTCTTTAAATGAAAGATACTAAAAACCTGGTGCTGCATATGCAATTTTTACAATTTTCTCTTTAACTGCATTTGCCTTGTTTGCAAAATGTTGTATCATGTGGAAGTTGCTTTATATCAACTGCAATTGAAAACTCATAAACTAGAAGTACTACCACAGCACACATTTTCTCAAATTATTTGTAGCAGATGCATAATATTTTAAATAAAATAGCAATATAACAAAATTTTGGGCTCCATGGAAATAAATTCGCAAAAGTTCAATTTTCTTACAGTGAAAAAAGTCAATTCATCAAAAGTTCAACTCGTTTCGCTCTATATTCGTTGCAAAATCTACATTTCTTGAACATGAATTTACAGTTAATCTAGAATGAATGATCGTGAATTATCAGTAATCTTTATTAGTCAAGAGGAACAGGTAATAATAATACAAGAACTGTGTAAGAATTTCTCTGAACTAATATTTATTTCTAATTTATCAAATTTTAGGCAAATTACATAAAAATGCAAAGGCAGCCCAAAAAAGTGAGACAGAAAAACAGATGAAAGGGAAGAGGGATGTATTGCAATGAAGTGTTACATATTTGCTTTTGGTCTTGTATGAGAGAAAGGTTTCGTGAAATTGTGGGCAACAAAAATCTTGTGTTGTGACAACGTGCTTGAGAAAGAAGGAACTTGATATTCTCACAGCCAGTAATCTTTGCTGCTGCAAGCAAATAAAAGTGATAATAACTTCCCTTAAAGTGTGCGCTCTCGTTCAGGATCAAAGAATCATGTGGAGATTGAATTCCTTAAAACTGGTGTTATCCTTACTACCTTTCATTTCCTACTTACGAGAAAGAATCCCGTCTTCAACGTATCCTCAATAAGGCATCTACAGCCCACCGGCCTTGACCGGTTTTTCACTGCAACTTCCTTCACCTCAGTTCACCAACCGATTTTTCTTTGGAGTGGTGTTTATCAATTGCCAGGGTTTTTCACCATCAACTTTCCCTTTAAAATAATTTTGTGTGAATCCTCAATACCTAGGAGATTCCCTGTAAGATTTACAAAATGACAAGGATGGGTTGTTATTATTTTAGAAATCAGACAATCTAGTAATTTTCCAAACAACATAAGGAATTGCATGTTGCTGTTAGTGTACGAATACAATTACACACCACAGAAAACTCAAAGAAAGTCTTTAAAAAAACATTTAATAATATTTACACAAACACAACTACTTCTAACAATAATAAAACTGCAAGCATGGATGTATATTGAACCTACTATTCACGTGGTTTAAACCAAATGTTCCTTTTGTCATTGTTCCTCCCTACACAGACTGCAATGTACTACTTGTTTACAGCACAATTAAGTTCAGTACACTAATTATTTATAAATTTGCATCTTTTGCTGTTAGAAGTTACAGGTTTGATCTTGCATCATAGGCTACAAGATTTAAAATTGATGAAATCATCAAAAAAATGCTTTCATAATGTAAAAAGATAAAAAATACTTATTAGTCAAAATCAAGGAAAAATGAAAAGGAAAAAAAGACAGTAAAATTGTATCATTTTATTTTATCGTAACACAAAATCAATTTCTATACTAACCTGTGTTTTGTTCTAAAATGGAGAGAAAAAATTACATTTCATTTAAAATTGCACCCTATACACAACCATTACAAATCATGCGGGGAAAGTACGATGTGGCATCTCTAGTTGTAATAAGGTGCCTTACAATACTTATTTTGTATATAACCATTGGGGCCTTTCATAGCCAATCCTTAATCGCCTGTTTGAATATAGGATATAGCTTAATCCATATTATTTTTAATTGTATTTCTTGACTTATTTTTTTTTTTTTTTATTTTTTTTTTAATGTGTCGTGTGTGCAAAAACAAAATTTGTTGGATAGCAGCAACTGTACTGACTGCACGATGTCATTATTATATTGTAAGAAAATAATTGAGTAAATGTATAAAGGAAGTGGTGTAACTCTTTTTCTTAGATGCTGAAGAGACTGCACAAAATGCAGTGGTAAATGGAGCTGGCAACAGACAGACTCGTACTGAGTCATTGCGTCGAGAAGAACTTATTAACTGTACATGTGGTTATCCTGAAGAGGATGGGCTTATGATCCAGGTAATCAGTCTTTTAAAGAGTGTTCTTTACTATAATTCATTGATATATCCCTGGATTGAATACTGCCACAAATAACTAATTGTTTGTCAGAAGCATGTAAAGATTTGACCCAGTCTGGAATTGAATGGTGGAAAACTGCCCTACTGATCAGTTCCGTGATTCAAGGATTTTTCAATTGACAGATTCATGCAGATTGTGTTTATATAGTCAGAAAGTAAATAATTCATTTGTTGTACAATAAATAACATTTTGAGAAGAGGGAGAGGAGTTGGGAAAACTGACACACCCAGAAATTACGTTGTTTGACCTGTGTACATGGAGTTATCATCAAACTTTGCTACTTCATTAATCTGGTTGTACCTCCTTGTGGAAACATGATATCTCGAGAATGTGGGCTTAGAGTGGGCATGTGTGGGAACCTAGAAAATTTATATTCTTAAACTGGGAAACCCATGGGAAGAAAAACTTTAATTCCAAAATGCTTTTCGAGTTATGTATTTTCACAGATATTGAAATGGTTTTTACCTTTTCCATTGATCAAAAATGTAATGAATATACTTAATGGGGAAAATACAAGTATCCATTCAATATTTGTTCAGGGCTGATCGATTCTATGGTATACACCATCGATTTGAATAAGGTAGCTTACTGAAAATATTAAATTTAAACTCTTCCAAATTCAAAATAAAAGTTAACATTTATTCATAATAATAAAAAAAACCTATTTTTGTTTTTTAAACAAATAATAATGAAACATTTAGTTAACTTCACTAATTTCTGTAATGGCACCTATATATATCTTCTTCACATTTAAAATAACTGTATACAATTCACTGAATCCACTCTCCTAAATACTCTTGTCTATTTAATTTTTCATAGTACTGTCCCCAATTAATACACCACCAATATGCCATTGCATCTGTTACATCAAATAGTCCATTTAATTACACCACTCTCGTTAGTGTGTTCTACTAAACTTTGTCATTGCTCAAGAATATTTATTTCCTTTCTCTTTGTTGAATTTTGTAGTCTTCTTAAGTTGGCAGTCTTTGTGCCATTTAACATTGCCATCCTGTGATTTTCTATTTCAGTAGTTTCTGGTTGTATTGTCGTGATGTCAAATATAGACGAAATATGAATAACACCTAATTACAACTTGTTACAATACCAATTTTATTATTTGAAAAGTCATTATCAGTAGGTGTATGTCCAAATGTATGGAAATGGAAATATTAATTTTTTATACCATCTTTAAACGAGGTGATGAAAACAATATTACATGTTATAGACATCTCTTGATTCTTAGTACAGTACCAAAACTTTTTGAATCAGTAATAACAGTTAATTTAAACTATTAATATTCCCATATCTGTCAATCAGACAATTTGGTTTTATGAGAGGGACAAACAAAGAAGCTAACTTGTGTTATTATACACTCTGTAATCTTCATTCTGTTGAGAAAAATGATTGTCTTAGTCTAGTATTAATTTGGTGTAATTTTCGATTCTAAAATGTTGGTTGTAGATCGTATTGATTATCAATAAAGCAAACTAAATTTCTGTTTGTTGGGCGACCGGTAGTTCATTTAAATCTATAAATGCTGTGAGAATCTCTGACATAAAGATAGTAAAATCAGATTTGATGTAATCTTTTATAGCATGGTTGCTTTTTGTTCAAATACTCATAAAAAAATCGAAGCTGTGCAATGCAGATTTTTTAGAACCACGGCAACATCCCAAGTTCCCTTACACTCCATAACGATAATCAAATCAAGTTTTTCAGATGCAAACTTTAGTTATAAATTGATCAATAACCGCTTAGACTGTTCCTTGTGCTTGAGAGTTTGGGAGAGAAAGAGTAGAGATAAAAAAAAAAGGTTGTATATATGTCAATGAAAAAGATGTTTACTTTGTTTGTTTATTTATTTATTTTCTTTATTTAATGTAATACTCAGGTAACAGTATAAGCTTATGTGGCCTCAATTGGTGCTCGCATAATTAATTATTTTTGACAAATCACAGTGTTTCATATCACATGTAAATATCACATAATATCCCAATAATTGACATGATTCTGGAAAAGGAGGAACACAGTCCACTTATCAATGAAGTCCATGGCCTTTCTTGTTGAAGAGGCAATCATAAGCTCTTTTGAACCTTCGAGGACTAGGTGCCGTTACCACTTTCTGGGGTAGTATGTTCTAGGTGTTGACAACTTGGTTACTTATTAAATTCCTGATTTTCTCTAGATTTTAGAAGCTTCATTCTATAACCTCATAATTGTAGATTTTCAGTGCTGAAAAATGCTATTAAGATCGGAGTTGTAATGCCCATGCAAGATCTTAAACGTTTCAAACACGTCGCCGCGTTGTCTCCTTGCAGCAAGAGTCGGAAGCCCGAGTCTTGTCAGACGTTGATCGTAATCCACGATCTTGAGGTCTGTAGGAATACATGTGGTTCTCAAGCAGATTTATGTCTTTAAAAAGTAATGATTCCAAATCGCAGTGCCAAATTCAACTATCAGGAGAATGTAAGTGAATACGTCACTTCCTATTGTGTTAAAGGCTTTACGCAGAGTAAGTATGGCTTTGTTAGCCTTTTTTTGCGATGTTACTCACATGGTCTTCCCATTTGAGATCCTAATCCCTTGATCCTTTATGACCTTGACTTTAGATAAGTTCCTTCCACCTATTTGGTAACTTTGCTTTGGGTTGGATCTTCCAATATGCATGACCATACATTTTGTTTCATTCAGGAGTAACATCCAAACAGTCGACCACTCTTAAACACTATTCATGTCGTCTTAAAGGTGGAAATGATTCACCAGAGGATTAGCATATAATTTGGTGTCATCTGCAAACATCTTGAAGTGGGAGAGCATACTGTTCAGCGGGTCGCTGGTATACAGGATGAATAAGATCGGTCCCTATCAGAAAGTGTTAATAGCTAATATCCTCACGGACCTAATAGCTCTAGTTCATATCCCAACTTCGAGAAATAGGGATTCTAGCCTGTTTTTTTTTTTTCCCTTTAGCAAACATTTTTTCCCCTTTTTGTGGTATTATGAATCTATTATAGCATTTCAGTATATCAAACTTAAGCTGTGTTGAGCGCATATATTTAACTTTAATTTTTGTTATTGCTAATGTTTGTTTCAGTGTGATTTGTGCATGTGTTGGCAACATGGACTTTGTAATAACATTGAACACGAAGATCATGTTCCAGAAAAATATGTGTGTTATATATGTCAGAATCCTTCAAGAGAGAGACGATCCAAACACTTCTTGCATGACCAGGATTGGTTAAAAGAAGGACGATTGCCAAGGTAAAACTACAGGAATAATAATTGATTAAAGAAAATATTAGTTCAAATTACAAATATTATATTATTATTGATATTGGTACAAAATTATAACTTGCACTAACAGAGAGAGGCTATGTGTTGGGGAATGGGGATTCTAAGTGAAGATTTGGTTGGGATGCAGATCTTGCAGGCCTGGAATAGATGGAATCAGACCCTAGGAAGAAAAGGGGATGTTAAAGCCTTCATATTCCGCAAATTGTTTCACTGTCAAAATCCAGAAAGGCTACAGAACACTGTGCCTAGAAAAATTGCATGAAGAACCCTCCCAAATAAGAGACACTACACTCATAGCCAGAAACTTTTGCTGAAAATAGCTATACTGTATGATAAAAATTTTCATTCTTATATGCTCCATCGATTGCTTTTCAACAAACAAGCAAAAGATTATTTAGATTTTATCGTGGCTAAGCCACGGCGAGAACAAACAAAACTAATGGTGCTATTAAGAAAATAATACATTTCTATGAAAGGAAATAAATGTTTAACATAGTTGAAGACTATGGGCCTGTCAATATTAACCAGAGCAGAGCTATGGAAATTAACGTGGAAGTTTTTTTACGGTCTTCAACTATGGGCCTGTCATTACTAAACAGAGCAGAGCGCGGAGCGAACTTTTTCGCTCGTATATATAGAAAAAATTACAAATAAGTATTTCTCCACTGTATTCTGATTTCTTCAGCGAATTATTTTTACACGTAATGTCCTCTATGGGCACTGAGTGAATTACAAAATAACAAATAGATAATAGAAACATCGATTGTGAGAGCAACAGCCCTGCTCTCTGGGCAGCAATGGCCATACTAGGCCTACAGAACCATTACAGAGAAAAATATTCAGTTTTGATAGTAAACAGGCAAGTAGGCAATGTTGCAAATGAAGTCTTGGTTATACAATGATTTAGGAGTGATAGTTGATTATTTCTAACAAGCCAAAGATCACACAAAGTATGTAACTTAATTTCACCAAATAATTTAGTAGGTGGTGAATTAATTTAATATAATCACCCCTTAAATTCAAAATAAAATATAAATAATATCTTATAAATTAAACCAGTAGCATTGTTCAACTAAGGATTGACTAATGAATACGTTCCAACCAGTTTGAGAGATGCAGAGCTAATAGTTTAAGCATAAAAATTATTCTATATTTTAAGCAACATTATTCAATTTGCCTGTAAATCAATAAAAATAGAAACACAATCAAAAACCAAGTGTGGCCACACTGCACATTTCAGAACATATGTTTGAATATTGTGTGAAGGCATTAAAGATGTAAACCCAATAATAAGATTTTTTACCTCATTTTTTTGGACAAAAATAATATATTAGGGAACATCATATTTCAGTTTGTATAGACCCTTTTTTACTTAGATGATGGCTTGTTTAATACTAATAAAGAAAGTCTGAATGGTACAATCCTTTTTAAGTTGCTAAACAAATATTGTAAACCAAAAACAGAATTTTTCAGGCTGAAATATAACAGGGTTCCGTTCAGCAAGTCGATCAGACTATTTTGACTGTTTTAACTATTTTCACTGGTTTGACACTTTTTACTATTTCGACTATTGTGACTACTTTTAATATTTGGATTATTTGGAATATATTGAATATTTTGACTATTTCTACTATTGAATATTTTGACTATTCCTATTTTTAATATTTGGAATATTTTGACTATTTTTGTCTGTATTGACTAATTCAACTATATTGACTTTAGACTACATTGACTATTTTGACAATAATGACTATTTTAATTTTTTTGACTAGTTTGATCAGTTGAAATCAGTTGAAGATACGCCCAGCAAGTCGATCAAGTGGCGGATCGTCCCAGCTAGTTGATCAAGTGGGGGATCCGCCCAGCAGATCGATCAAGTGGCAGATCCGCCCAGCAAGTCGATCAAATGTGGGATCATGCAAGCAAGCCGAACAATTGAGGGATTGACCCAGAAAGTCGACTAAGTGGAGAATCGACACAGCAAGTCGATCAAGTGGGGGGTCGACTCAGGAGTCGATCAAGTGGGAGATCGTCCTAAAGAGTCGATCAAGTGGGGGATCGTCCCAACAAGTCGATCAAGTGGAGGATCGTCCCAACAAGTCGAACAAGTGGGGAATCGACCCAGCAAGTCGACCAAGTGGGAGATCGCCCCAGCAAGTCGACCAAGTGGGGGATCGACCCAGCAAGTCGACCAAGTGGGGGAGCGACCCAAAAGTTGACCCAGTGGGGGATCGACCCAGCAAGTCGACCAAGTGGGGGATGCGCCCAGCAAGTCGACCAAGTGAGGGGATTCCGCCCCAGCAAGTCGACAAGTGGGGGATCCGCCCAGCAAGTCGACCAAGTGGGGGGATCCGCCCAAGCAAGTCGACCAAGTGGGGATCCGCCCAGCAAGTCGACCAAGTGGGGGATCGCGCCAGCAAGTCGACCAAGTGGGGGATCGCCCAGCAAGTCCGACGCAAAGTGGGGGGATCGCGCCCAGCAAGTCGACCAAGTGGGGGTCGCCCAGCAAGTCGACCAAGTGGGGATCCGCCCAGCAAGTCGACCAAGTGGGGGATCGCCCAGCAAGTTCGACCAAGTGGAGGATGCCGCCCAGCAAGTCGACCAAGTGGAGGATCGACCCAGCAAGTCGACCATGTGGGGGATCGACCCAGCAAGACGACCAAGTGGGGTATCCGCTCAGCAAGTCGACCAAGTGGGGATCCGCCCAGCAAGTCGACCAAGTGGGTATCCGCCCAGCAAGTCGACCAAGTGGGTATCCGCCCAGCAAGTCGACCAAGTGGGTATCCGCCCAGAAAGTCGACCAACTGGGTATCTGCCCAGCAAGTCGACCAACTGGGGGATCCGCCCAGCAAGTCGACCAAGTGGGGGATCCGCCCAGCAAGTCGACCAAGTGGGGGATCCGCCCAGCAAGTCGACCAAGTGGGGATCCTCCCAGCAAGTCGTCCAAGTGGGGGATTCGCCCAGCAAGTCGATCAAGTGGGGGATGGACCCAGAAAGTCGATCAAGTTGGGGATCCGCCCAGCAAGTCGATCAAGTGGGGGATGGACCCTGCAAGTCGAGCAAGTGCGGATGGACCCAGCAAGTCGACCAAGTGGGGGATCAGCCCAGCAAGTCGATCAAGTGGGGATGGACCCAGCAAGTCGACCAAGTGGGGGATGGACCCAGCAAGTCGACCAAGTGGGGAACTGACCCCGCAAGTTCGACCAAGTGGGGATGACCCAGCAAGTCGACCAAGTGGGGGATGGACCCAGCAAGTCGACCAAGTGACGGGACTGGGAACCCACGCAAGTCGACCAGTGGGAGATGGACCCAGCAAGTCGACCAAGTTGGGGGATGGACCCAGCAAGTCGACCAAGTGGGTGATGGACCCAGCAAGTCGACCAAGTGGGGTGATGGGACCCAGCAAGTTCGACCAGGGAGTGGGTTGATGGGACCTAGCAAGTCAGACAAGTGGGGATGGACCCAGCAAGTCGACCAGTGGGGGATGGACCCAGCAAGTCGACCAAGTGGGGGAATGGACCCCAGCAATGTCGACCAAGTAGGGGATCGATCCAGCAAGTCGACCAAGTGAGGGATCGACCCAGCAAGTCGACTAAGTGGGGGAGCCGCCCAGCAAGTCGATCTCATGGATTATTGACCCCTTCAAGTCGGTCAAGTGCGGAATCGATCCAACAAGTCCATCAAGTGAGGGATAGAGCCAGCAATTCGATCAAGTGGGGGATCGACCCAGCAAGATGATATAGTGGGGGATAGACCCAGCAAGTTGATCAAGTGGAGGATCGGTCCAGCAAGTCGATGATGTTGGGCTTCGATCTAGCAAGTCAACCAAGTGGGGGATCCACTTTTAACTCTTTTGACTATTTTTAAAATTTGAACTCTTAACTATTTTGATTTCTTTACTATTTTTAATGTTTTGACTATTTTGACTCATTTGACTATTTTAATTATTTTGACTTTTTTGACTCTTTGTGCTGTATTGACTGTTTTGACTCATTTTACTGTTTTGGCTGTTCATACCTATAAAGTTAAACAAAGCTGTTTTTAATTTCATTCAAATTTTACTGGATGCCATCAAGAAATCTAAAGTAACATTTAAATTGAATTTCAAAACTAAACCTAGGAAACCATGGATTACAAAAGGATTAATTAAATCTTGTAAAATTAAAAAACATTTTTATAAACAAACAAGATCTTATTCACATGATAATACTACTAAAGATAGGTATCTTAATTACAAAGAAAGGTTGGACGTTTTAATTAAAATTGTTAAAGATTCTTATTATAATAGTATTCTGAAACAGTTATGGAATTTCATACATGAAACACTCAATAAAAAGAAAACTACAATACACCAATTAAAAAAATGTTTGATGATGTCAATGTTATTTTCATTGAAAATGATAGACATCGCAAACGAGTTTAATGACTTTTTTGTTGGAGTTGGTCCCAATGTGGCTAAAAATAGGGATGTTATAATGACTGAGACTACATTGAATTCCGATCGATCCCCTGCATATTCTATTTTTCTTAATCCTGCTACAGAGCAAGAAATATTGAATACTGTAAACTTCATGATCAGTAAAAAGTCTGCGGGTGTCGATTAAGTCTCATTTTCAGTCATTAAACATGTTTCTATACATATATTAAAATCATTAACTTATATATTTAATAAAAGTATTGAGACAGGTATATTTCCTGAACACTTAAAAAAAGGTGAGATTATTCCAATCTAGAATTAAGGAGATATAGATAGACCTGCCTATCTCACTATTCTAAAATTTTGTGAAAATATTTGAAAAATTATTGAAAGTTAGATTTGAAAACTACTTAAATAAACATAATATTATGAACCAATTCCAAGTTGGTTTTCAAAGGGTATGCCCTACCTATCTATTTATCTGGATTTAGCTAAAGCATTTGATACTGTCAACCATGAATTGCTACTAAAGAAGCTCTGTAGATATGGTTTTCGTAGAATTACTTATGATTTGATTAAAAGTTGCATGTAGCCATCGTAGCCTTAATATAACAAAGACAGTATACTCTACATATGGCAGCTATTTGAACAGTGTTCTGGATCATTGTACATTGAGGATACTTATAAATTTTTGGAATATACAACACTACTTGTCCAGAGATAAAAAGAGAATATCATACAAAATACCTGGGTATTCTTATAGATTGCAATTTAAAATGGGGTTACCATATATCAAAGATTGCAAATAAATTAAGATATCTCGTTTATATTTTTTATATAAGAACTAAATTATTTAATACAAAACAACTTCTAATGATATTTTAGGCATTTTATTGGTCTATCACTACATATGGTATAATTGCTTGGGGAGGAGCCTATGCTAATTCCTCGAAACCTCTGAGTGGTATTCAAAATTGAATTATTAAACTGATATTTGAAAATGATAAAAAATACTCTTCAGAAATTTTATACAGAGAAAATAAAATAATTGATATTAGGAAATATTTTATGTTGAAGTCAGTCTTGAAGAATTTCTCTTATTTATAAAATATCTATAAAGCAAAAGTAAAGGCCAATAAAAGAACTTTAAATTTGCAACCTCCTGACGTTAAAAGGATACTGGTTGAAGAAATTTTGAATATATCAGTTATGAAGTTTACAATTTGCTTCCATGTAATTTGAAAATCCTGAATGTAAATAGTATATCAACTAAAAGTATGATAAAATACTTGTTGATAAACTCCTCTGAGATTGTTCTGAAGACCATTTTTGAGTAATGTCCTGTTTGCAATGAAATCCTTCATCTAAGTTATACTATACCTATTGTAATTTATATTCTAGCTTCTATATACGTATTATAAATAGAAAATGTGTTAGATTTTTTAATTTTCTTTAATTTTTCTTTTTTCATTTGTATTTCATTGAGTATAGTTTTTATAAAGTTTCTTTCTTTTCTTAAATGTAATTAGTGCTAATATATTTATCTTATAAAATTGTTTCCTTTTTTTCCATTTATGTTTTCATTTCTTTACAAATGTACTACATTTTGCGATATTATTTTGACATAAACCAAATTTAGTTTTATTTTTCTGTATGTCACAGTCTGTCATTCCGTTCGAAGAATCCTCTACAAATAGCTCAAAATGAAGCAATTTTAAAGGATTCACATGACCTCACAGGAACCCTCCTGCAGTTGCAAACTGTAATACACAGTCTACGTGTCAAAGTCAACATAGCAGAGTAAGTATCTGGAACAAAATTTCCTCCAGCTCTGAGATTGTGTCATAAATGATCTTGGGCAAAGGTTTGCTCAAAATCAATGTATTTAGGAGCAAAGATACTCTTTTGTTTTTTGAATGTTATTATTTTCTCGTATACAAATGTAGAACGTATGTATGTATTGAGTAATATACGTAGTATAGAGAAAGATATGTAATGCTACAGGAAATCAATTTCGAGATTTTGAATGGAGATAAAGGTTTTTGGGTCGCTTGATACCAAAAAACTGTCGTTTTTCCTTTTTCTTCTTTCTTTCTTTTTTCTTTTCTTTTCTTTCTTTCTTCTCTCCATCTCCAAAATATCCATCCATCTTTCTGATGATAAAATATGTCAAGATTTTAATTCTCTTCACATTTGCTTTGAAAGATATTACTGGAAAAAGGTGCATGGTCACTTTATAATCTAAAAGACAGCCAAACTAAGACATTGAGGCAAAGACTCTGTGATGGGACTAAACAAGAGCTCAATGGTGGTGGATTAGTGATTTTGAGAAATTTTGATTCACCAGATGACCCTTAGGGAAAAGTAACTAAATATATTTAAGTCATTCAGTTGAAACAAATTTAAATTATGTAAAGATATATAGTGATCTGCTGTTCATTGTGTTTTCCTAATTGTTTAAATAGTATACACTGGAAGACTAAACTTTTCCATCAGGAAGTGAAGTTGTGAATTTTCTTGTGAAAAACAAAGTTGTTTTGGACTTTGAATACCAAATCCTGGAAAGAAAGATGTTATTCCTCTGTATTGCTATCTCAAAATTTTCACCATTGACATTCAAACATGAGGTGCAGAAAGAATGAGTGAAGCGATGAATAATTACCAAAATATCACATTGTGGACCTGAAGAGGAAAGCTTTTGATGGCTCCCACTATGAGATGATGTTGAGCTCAGCTTGCAATACCCTATCTTTCCTCCCTAGCAAAAGAATGGAGAACTCTCCTCTTGATTTTTCAGGGAGTATAGAAGAAAGTTAATATGTCACTTTTTCTATGGACTTCCCCACATCTTCCAAAAAACATCTGGGCCAGAGCAGATACATAAGGGGATGTTGAAAATCAGTCAGAACACTAACCTTATTAATTTTTACAATCGAATCTGGTACGAACATATGGTTCCAAGAATATGGCGTGAAGCTAAAATCATACCGGTACCAAAGGAAGGAAAATATAGATACCGACAAATTGCCACCCAATCTCCTTAACGATCTGTCAGTAAAATCTTTGAGAGTATGGTAAACCACTAGTCTGGTACCTTGAGTCGCGAAGCTTGCTAACTCCAATCCAATCTAGTTTCGGAAAATACTAGTCAACCCTGGATCACTTAGTCATGTTAGCGATTGAGATTTCCTCTTTTACGTTGAGACAAAATGTTAGTTTTCTTCGACATAGAAAGGCCTGACAAAACCTGGATGCATGGCATATGGGGGGTTGTAGACGGCGGCTCCCCTGTTCCTCGGTAGCTTTCTGTCCAACATAAGAAGTTATGAAATTTGCATAATGGTGGCGTGCACGTTGGCCTGGCAGTGCCCTCCTTTATGTGACTGGTCACATCAGTGTTTCGCCACACTCAGCGGTGTAGAGCATTAAAATGACTTGGAAACGAGCTGGTATGCCTCGGCGCCAAAGGGCGCAATATCAGCATCTTGAGTGAGTTCCAACCGGGCACAATGATCGGTGAAAGCTGTTTGATTTGTTGTACTATGACATTGCTGCTCAAACGGTACACGCTGCTTTGACAGTGATGCATGTCTTGAACCGGTGGCTTGAACTCGGCGCGAGATGACCACCATCTTGTCTGCATGGCCATAACCAACAGAACAGTGTTCACTCAACTTTAGAGCACTGCAAGGAATGTAGTCATGTCTGCGTTGATGGTTCGACCCCGTCTGATGAGGGCTGGACCGGTGGCATACACACCACTGCGTCAGATTCCATTGACAAAAAAACACCAATGCCTCAGAGAGCAATTAGCGAGATTTTAAAGCACAAAGTACTGCCCCTTCTGTAAGCAGCTCCTCACAACATACTTCAGCAAGACAATGGCCCAACCGCATGTGGCAAGGAATGTGCTTTCGGCAAAGAATGACGGGTACCACTGCTTTGCTGGCCTGCACGTTTGCCTGACATGTCATGCATTGAACATGTCTGGGATATGATCAGTTGGGAACTTCTTCATTCTGGTCCTCCTAGAGCCACTGTCGACGCTTTGTGGTCATGCATAGAAACCACAAGGCAGTGTGATCTCGAGCAACATATCAAGACCCTCTTTGAATCCATGCCACATTTAGATCATCTGATCTCAGCGCATAGCGGCTTCACAATGTACTAAATATTCAAGATCAAAATGCATGTACAGTTCTGTAATTCTTATTATTTGTATATTGTGATATTCTCTATCTCTGGAATAAATTTTATTGTAATAGTATGTCCTCTTGATGTTGCAATTTTGACAAATAGCAGTATATGATATGAGAGTCAAGGACAATGCTTGTTATCCACTACCACATACATGTCAGTAGTTAGTTAATATAAAAACATTGCAATTACATTTTCAGAAACATTCATAACTCTGTTTGCAGTAAGTAGTGATTGTATTGTTTCAGAATTTGCATACCTCCCTCATTTCATCAGTTTTAGAAAATAAGAACTGAACGACTTTAAACTGTTTTAGGGATTTTCGATTTTTTATGTTGTATATACATTATACTTTTGTGTTGTAAGTATTTAGTTCCTTTTTTTTATGTGAGTAATCGCAAGGGTTCAACAAGTGGTGAGTTTCAATTTTCCTCAAACTTTTTCGATTTGGTGTGGAATGTCCCAAAGTAAAAATTATATCTGTTTAAAATTTACTATCAACAGGGCAGTTTTCAAAACTATGTGGTTTCTGTCATCATGTAATCAAACTAACACTTTCATTCAATAATTTCATTGCTCCATCTTTAATTATCAGCTATATTTACGTGTTGTGAATAAAAACTGCATTGTTGAAGTTTCTCAAAGGTTCTGTTTGAAAGAGTGAGAATATAAAGTTATTATTCAAAATGTAATACCTTCATAAGTGCTATTATTTCAAAATAATGCACTGCTAGAGCAAATTGACTTGTCATACACTGGTCAAAACCGTTCTCATTGACATATAAATATTAATATTATTATTCAAATTAATTGAAACTAAATGTATTATTATTTCTTGTTGTTTGATTTCGAACTCCAAATACGTTGTGGAAAGGAATTCCAAAGGAAAATTGAAATTTTAGAGTTTGAAAACTTGAATTGAACTTTAGAACTCAGAAACCTTAATTGGAAAATTTAATTTGCATTGTTCTTCAGTCTTGTAATGTGATGAAATGAAACAATATTCGATCTGTGCATTAATTTTTTTAAATAATTCCTTCTCTGTACACTTAATGTTAATTGATTTTCTCTTACAGAAAGAAAGATCACCCAAAGCTGTACTTGTGGGCTCATAGTTGGGAAAAGGGTCAGAATCCATCTCCACCGGATTTACATGTTCTCTCAAGTAAGAAACATTACATTCCTCAGATAGTGTTAATATTTAACTCATTGACTGCCTAGAATATTACGACAGTTGCTGCTGTGGGTGAACACTTCATGAGAATTGATCTTGTTGTCTGTCATACATTTTGCTTTTAATAAGTTGGTGCCCGTTCAGATATGCCTGGGAACGCTTGATCAGCATCAGCACCTGACCTGACTAGCGTCAGCTGCCTTTCATAAGTGTGACATCCATATCCCATACAGCCTCAAATGTATTTTTATCGAGGGCACATTTCTAAATTATAATTAAAAGAAGTTTAACTTCAACACTATTTTGCTGCACCTCTTCATGTCTTTCTTAGAGCAGTTGAGAATGACTAATCTGATTTAATCAGAATTGTATTGCAAAAACATTTTTGAAATGCTAATTTCAGTTCATCTTTTGCTGATCAAAACTTTTTTTTTTTAATTGAAAGAAAAAAAATGTTATAAATTTGAAAAATAGCTTTCATCTGATGTAAGTCATTTAGAAAATAACACAACCAAAATTAGCCATTTTAAATACCAGTTGTATAAGAAATTCACAGTTCTGCATGAGACTTTTGTTATTATAATGGTTGTTTCTTTATATATATTTTTTGTCTAAGATTAAACAGCTATAGCATTGGAAGCAGATGATTAGTATAAAAAACCTGCTCAGCAAAGTATTGTTGCATGTTATAAATTTCAAATAATGTTTCGCTCTGTGAGTAGTTTCTTATAGTAAATTTCCGATAAAACAGTTAATAACTGAGGTCTCGTAGAGCGATAAACTTTCAAGGACACGTATTAACAACTCTGAAGGAGGATTGCTTGTAAAACATAATTGAACTACACAAAAATATAGTAAACAACCTGACAATTAATGACTAAAGTGTTTAGTAATTAGGAAAAAATTACTTCAATTTGATGTAATATAAAAAATGGAGGGATATTGCACTATCAACATGAAATTACGACAGATTTTATCCCAGGTTCTTGAGTGCGGTTTTCTAGGGACCTAGGTCATTTAAAGGCCAGGTGACAATGGAAGGTGATTTGGGGAACGTGACTTGGTCCAGCCGCATGTTTTCATTTTAAGAGTTATGAATGAGTTATGAGTTATTTGAAGTTCTCTGATTATTCAGTGATGAGGGACAGCAAAATGCTAAGAGTCGGCTACTGGCTCTCAAAAACGTATGTGATACAGTGTTTAAATGTATTCAAGATTCCATGCAAACTGATTTGCAGGTACATCTGGTTGCTAAAATAATTTTAGAGAAAATTTCAGTAAATAGAATGGCTAGACAGGGGAAAGGTATACTTTTTGGTTCAGAATCCCAGTTCATGTTCAGAGTCAAAATGTGGGGATTTTTGTTATGCAGTTTTGAACATCTATGTACTTTATGTTTGAAAAAGTAAAAATGGTCATGTCAGTAACTTAAGAAGATGAATGATTTCTTTTTTCATTGCAGGAAATGAAAGAAAAATTGACACAGCTGAAACTTCTATGAAAACAGAAGAGCAAAATGAAGTTGAAACTTCCAAAACAAAAAGGAACTTCTCTCACCAATACTCTACAGTGTGTAATAAATATGATGCAGTAGAGCAATCTCTTGAGATGGTGAGTTATTTATTGAATAAATAGTATTAGCTATTGATTCACATATGACTATAAAAGGAAAGGATTTGACAGAATTGTAGTTCTGCCCGGTGATTCTCCAGCAAAAGATTGGTCCTTGGACTGTCTTCATGGATGGAACAGCTTTCTTCTTTAGGATCACAATGTCAAATCTTGGCAATTCATATTTTCATTCATTCTCCCTCCACCCCATGTTTGATTATCATTCAAAGGTCAAAATTTTAAGGTAGCAATATTGAGGAAAGTCATTTTTGTTGTGTGGAGAAAGAAAAATGGCTCTTAAAGTTCGAAACAACTTCAGTTTTCAGAAGTAAATTCACATCTTTGGTTTCTAATGGGATAATTTTAAAATTCTGTTGTGCTATATTTAAATAATTAGGGAAACCAGTGAAAGTAAATCATTATACATTTTTACATCATTTAAATTTGTTTCTGCTTCAAAATATTTAGTGACTTTTTCCTTTGGGGGTGGTGTTAGGTCATCCATTAGGTCAGAATGTCTCCAAAAACCTTTGCATCCTTGTTTAATCGCGACACAGATTTTTTCTTAATGTCTTTGACCAACATTTTTATAGTTGATTAACTGTCAATGGACCTTTATTTCAGAAACTCTCTTTCAAAGCAAGTGTGAGGTGAATTTAAACCTTGACATATTTCCTAATCACTTGCGACGATTATTGCAGAGTTTTAGATTTCTTATTCCAGTATTGTGCGCTTTTTGTAGCATCTATGGTTTTTACTTATACTTAGTTTGATTTATTTAATCAAAGAATAGTAAAAACTGTATGAGATGTTTGGGGAAAAATTACCATCTGCCCACGTTTTCTTGAACTCCAGATATTTCCCCAACCATTGAATGATGAATAAAAGCTTCAAACTAGTGATGGTACATGACATACTTTCTCACATTATTTGTAATTGCTGGCATTATTTGCAGCTCATTACACAGATGAGCAAGGATAATTTCACATTTAAATTTAATAACCAAACTAAACTAACCAAGCTAACCAAACTAAAGGCCATCCGATATATCGCTTTATGAATGCACATGAAACTACAGACTTCTCAAAGACAAGAATAACTTCTCAAATATCCATTGCTGCATTATATGGTAATGATGCATACACCAGTAATATCAAATAATCATAATAAAAGTTCATACAAAGTTATGGTACACATTCTTCATATTACATTTAAATTGTAATTAATGCTATGTATCCATGAGACCAGAAGAATTTTTTTAGGCTACTCAATGATCAAATTTTGGTGGAAGTATTTCCCATGTACTCACAACTACTGACGAGCTCCCCTCGCTCCCCATTTGCTTCATCTAACAATTTAAAGAAGAACGTTTTAAAGATGGTTGATGCATGTAATTGATTATGTTTTTGTCCTTATGGTTTGAAATGTTTCGTTGTCTGATGCTATTGCAAAGATTTTTTTCGATCTGTTTGCAACATAACAAAGGAAGTTGATTTTTTAATTGTAATTTTCCCCAATTTTTAAAAAATTTTTAGTGTGAGGCACCAGTGGAAGTGAAACTTGAAGTTGAAACAAAAACGAATTCACCTGAAGTAGCAGATACTGTTGTTGTGGACAACACTATAGAAATTGCGACAGAAACTGAAGTAGTTACAGCAGAAACAGTTCAAGAAGACACAGAAGAGCAAAAAGAAAGATACGTTGATGAAGATGATAAATTGTCATCAAAGAGGTAGGCATCCTTTTGCATGTACTGTAATTCTTTATTATTTTTGTAATAGTTCATATACCGGTTTCAATCTCATGCTCATGGACTATTTCTTCACCGTTATCGTAATCTACAATATTTTTCCATGTGCTCTATTACTATTACGCTCTATTACAGGGAGGGGGGAGAGAGAGGGAGAAAAAAAAACAAGAAGTCAAACAGTTGCTGTTCATCCATGCATTCTGGTTGATTGACAGCTGTCTTTCTTTACACTGCTAGATGTGGTATCAATCGCAGTGTTTGCACACACACGTTTCCTTTGGATCGTGGAACATCTTCAGTTTACACAACAGATCGTGAATACCATGCACTGCAGACCTGGCGTTGCGATACATCTTGTAGTTTGCCAACATCAAGTTTGTGTTACATCTTGCTTCAGAAGTGTAAAACTCTTGCCATATTTCTTCTCTTTTCTTGTTCAGGCTTTGTAAGATTGATTCCGCTGCCTTAGTACTTGGCAGGAGGAAATGTCTGAGATCCTCTATCAACAATGCTTCTTGGGAAAGAACATATGCCAGTCTAGATCTTTTTCTTTTAGATATGGCCAATGCTTGTTGTAGGAATGTGGCTCTCTCTTTTCCAGGTCATATAAATTTCCTATTGTGAGGTTTTCCCAGATGTTAATACTGTAAATAATGACTGGTAAGACTTTTGCTTGAAAAAGCTTGATAGCTGTGTTCATGTCCAAATGTCTAATAAATTTGATTTTATTGATGGCGATCCTTGCTTGACAGGTTTTCTCTGCAATGTCTTTAGTGAATCTTCTGTCACTCGTTTGTAGTGTTATCCCTAATTATTTGAAATCAGGGTCTACTTCTAACTTTCTACCATCAATTTTAAATGTGTTTTATGGGACTATCACTCCTTTTCTGAAAATCTGAAATTTTGTCTTGTTGTGTTAATCTCGGAGTTTTGAGTTTTGTACCATTTTTCCATTTCCGCAATGGCTTCTTGTAAAGTGTTAATTTCCTCTAAGCATATTACTACATCATCGACATGTGTGTATATAGTTACTCCCTTATTTCTTGCTATGTTGATCAGGTCTGTAGAAGTGAGGATGAATAGTAGGGGACCTAATGAGTCCCCCTGAAGCTCTCCATTTTTTTGGATAATTGGGTCTGATATAGTTAGACTGTTGTGTAGGCACATCACGTATCTCAGTATGGAGCTTATAAGTCTTGTCCATACATAGTGTGCCAAGTACTGCTCTGTGTTGGCCCATAACCCATTGCTTGTTGGTGTAATCAAAGACTTTTACAAAATCAAGAAAAATGGCATATAGTTTATCTTTTTTTCTTCTTCGTGGCCTTCTCAATGTCATTCATTAGTAGTATTATTGTGGTGGTGGTTGATTGGTTTCTGCAGAAGCCAAAATGTTCTTCTGGTAATTTGGTGTCTAGTTTTTCGAATATTCTCAATGGGATCATTTTTGATAGTAGTTTGAATGGGGCACAATTCGAGCATGATACCTCTATAAGCATTGGTATCATCGCTATTACCTTTCCCTTTGTGTGATGGTTCATTCTCTTTATTTTTTGAAAATGTCACAAATTTCTGCACATTTGTTAAAAATGTTTGCCCACAGTTTGCATAGCATTGTTTCTGATTTGATAAGGTGTTCATTATAAGTGTAGTCTGAACCTGCTGCTTTATTGTTTTTGAGTGAAAATATTGCTTTCTTTACTTCCTCTAGTGAGAAGGGGTCCCAGAGATCTATTGAAGTTGTTAAAACTTTTGGTGTAGGGATATATTGTTTTCCTTCTTGGTCTAGTATGTTTTTGAAATGAGTCTCCCATTTTTTCATTGCTATATATGTATAGTGTACATTATATTTAGTTTGCAAGGCAATGTATGGATTTCTTCGTGCTTCTTCTACCAATTGTTTTGTCTTTTTCTCTGAACTCTTTTTTTTCTTTTCTTTGATCAGAGCCTTGTATTTCTTTTTAACATTGAAGTAGCCTTGATCCTTGCCCTGTTCTGATTGTTGTTTATTCGCATGCAGCACATTCAGTACTTTCCTTTGTTCCTCATTACATTCTGTGTCGAACCATTTGGACTTGTAATTTCTGTTGCTTTGCCTATTATTTTGGTGGCGTTGTCCTATTGCGTTTTCTACTGCATCGCTTTGAAGCTTTCTTGATTGTCTTTTGCGTTGAATTCTTCACTCATTTAATATGTTTAAAGGAACTCTGACCAGCAAATGTTTCCTTTTGGTCACTGCGTCTGAGTATCTGAGCAGTGTGTCATATGGGATTGCGCAGTCTGTTGAGAAAGCTAGATCGATAGCGCTTTATTCATTTGACGCTATATAAGTTGATTCTGTTTCATTGTTATGAATAAACTGTCCTTTCTATAGCTAGTGCATCATCATAGATTTTAATGATTTGGCTTATCGATTCTGCAGTTTAAATCACCACCTAGAAGTGTTGGCAAAAATAAGTAAAAATTACTAATAATGTTTGAATCAATGGACGGATTTTCACTGTGTAAATGACATTCAAGTCATAGTTAATATAGAATTTATGCTATGAAGACTTTGTTACATGTAAGGTAGCCAAAAGTCATTTTTCAAATTGCATTATTTCATACTTCCAGAAAGAATTTCAAAAATGTGGGCATACAGTGCGATGACGAAATGCTTCGTGATTCCAATATCATTTCAACCATCCAAATGAGATGAATATGGGTAAAGTGAATTTGGCCAAATTTAACGTCCCCCCAAATGAGCACCGCCGCAATGCTCCCTTGTGACAGGCCGGTCACTCGGCGTGGCGGCGTGCGGCGCAGGGATGCCAAGTGGTATTAATCATTTCAAAAGCCACCAAATTTAAAGAAACCATTACTTCATATGTAAATATATAAGGAGGTATGAAAAGGAAAGAAGTACGAAATATATTATTACTATATAATGATATTTATATTTTGCCATAAACATACACATTTGTAATGCACAAAAGTATGTAGACGTACTATTTATATAATAATGTGCATATATATTCACAATGGACAAGTTTTGTAAGAGTTTCACTTGTGTAAGAGTTATGAAACTTAAGAGATATATTGTTCTCACTCATTGTAATGATTGAAAAAGAGATAGTGATATTTTTTTGTAAAACTTTTCTTCAACCGAAATTGTTTTCATTATTTCTTTATTGCTGCGATTCGTTCCTTTTCATGGAATGTGTTGCCTTCTACCAATTTTTGTTGTAGCAAATAACTACTGAATTTTAAACGTAGGGATTCATTAAAATGATCTTGCGCACCTATAAGTGTGGTATAACTTGATATAGTTATGAGGATTAATTACATATTTATTCCTACTTTGTAACTCAGTGGCTTATGATCCATATGTTAATATATTTGAAGCCAGTGCCTAACTTGAGATTTACTAGACTCTTAATTTTTTTTTTTCTTTTCAGTATACAAGATTCCATGTCAGTTTGTGGTAATGAAGAAATGAGTAATTCGACAGTTTTATCGAGCCCTGTTAAAGTGAATGATAAGAAAGCAAATTTGAATAGAGATAGTAATACTGAAGACAATGTGTCTGTCTGCCGAGATGACTTTGATGAATCTTTGTCGGTGGGTAATACAGGCAACACAAAGGATGCTTCTGGAGGTAAGGTTTTATTGTTAATTTTACATAGCTTTGACAGTTCAGTCTTGATGAATGGGTATACCCGGAAAAGAAATATTAATGTAAACACACAATGACTAATAAATGAAGGTTATATTGTAATGTTGATTTGGTCATAAATATATTCATGTGTGTGCATTCTCATGTATGAATGATTGTGAGCAAAATCCAAAAAACCTTTGTAAAAGATTCAAAATTTTCAGGATTATTTGTAAATATCACTTGCTGTGTTGTTTTGATGAATGGATAATATTCTTACTGAATTAATTGAATTTGTAGTCATTTGTCATGATTCATTGACTTTCAACGGTGTTTGGGAGATGCCATTTCACGTCAACAAACGGTTAAAAACTCTGTAATGTACTAGGAGGGAGAATACACGTTCTTTCTGTGATTTAAAATCCTTGTCCTACTCCTTATCTAAGTATTATATTAGGAAGCACGAATTGTCCGTACATTTTGATAGTAAAATCTGCTGGATATATATTGACTTGGAAATGATCTGAAATTGAAGTGTGTGGCACACAGACGTGCAGAAAAGACTTCAAGATTCATAGGCGCCTTCAATGTTAAAAATCAGCTTTGGTATTCACAACTGAACACCTATGTAGCTGCATGTCCCTGTCTGTAGCATTGTTGACCGTGAGGTCTGATCTTTGAGTTCAGAATAAATAAATCGAAACTTCGGAAAGGGAAAAGGAGAGCTTTGCAGCCATTTTTGAAGAAAACAATTGAAAATGACCCACGGACTTCATATAAAGTAGCCTCAAAATGTATTATTTTCAGTCGCATTGGGGAAATATGTTGGCAAACATTGTACAAATAGTTAAAAGTACTAGTGTTGTTCACACACGGACGGACATTTTGAAAAAAGGCACATTTTTAATATTAGGGCCCCCAAAACGTGTATATCTGTTTAAATATTAAGCTGCATACATAACTTTCTCTATACTACGTTTTAAAGGCATACACAGCCTAAAACAAGAGGGGAGCAACACTATGTTTAGACCCCTTGTCGATGAAACTTTTTACATGTTACATGACATTTTACTTGTACAGCAATTTTTAGTGCATTTTTAAATGTATTTTGAGACAATTGTAGAGGGGATCGTCTCCGAACTGGCATTTATTCGGGGTGCTTTCATACAGCCTTTGACTCTTTTAGCTTTTTCGGCCAATTTGACCTATTTTAAGAGGTTTCAATGTGGAGATGCTTGGCCACCTTTAAAGGGTACGCTCAAACTTTTCTTCAACCTTTTTCACTGAATTCGTCCATTGCACTGCAGAGCTTAGTAAACAATGCACAATTTCTGATTCATTCGAAGGAAAATTTAAGAATATTTCGTAAAATTTAGAACTTTTCACTTTCTCAATTCGGAATAGAAAGTTATGTAAAAATGGCGAATTTTCGGCAAAAAAAAAACACCTAATAGGGCCCTGTTACCGAAAAAGTGGATAAAACCAATTATTAAATTTAGAAAAGAATCCTCTAATGTAGTCTACGCAGAATCAATGTTTTGTGGATCCATCAAACTGAAAAATCGAATGACAGCAAAAGTCTGTCGATCTGTGAACAACGGTAGCGGCTTAACTGTACAGCCGATTTTCTCTAAAATTGATATTCCCCAATCGAATATATATCAAACGAACACAATCGAACACACACACACACATACATACGTACACATACACACACACATTTTTTATGTTTTCTTACTTTTGATAACAAATATCTCGGAATATTAATGCACGAATCGGATTCATAATGAAAGAATAAATACAACATGAACAGTTGTTAGATAAAATCTAATACTCAAGTAAACGCGTTACAAAAATATGCTTGTGAAATGGTGGGTTAAGTGTAAAATATTATTTTAATTAAGTGATTTCATTCGTGAAAATCCTTAGTAAATCCCACTCTTGGTTTGAAAATTCTCAGATCCTTCACTCCTTGCTTCATGTCTCAAAAATTTCCTAAGCACTCGTGGAAGTACTTGTGAAAATCTGTTGTTTTTTTAGTCGCCAGTATTGTTTGCAGATAGCCAGAATTGTCGTTGACACGCCCCATTAGGTATAGGACTGTTAATTATAGTCCACAAAACATTCTTGCAATCACCCTCCTACACTCTAAGAAGTGTCTGATGTTTCAGCTGCAAATGGCATGGTTGTGAGGAAGGCAGTGCAAAGTGCGCCCCAGCCAGAGGCGCCCATTGACCCCACTGAGTGTCGTCTGATTCTCCTGGACCACATAGAGCATGGCCAACAACAAGTGGAGGAGAGACTTGCGTTAATTGAAACACAGCTTGAAGGTTTGAATCTATACAAGTTGCTTCTTAAAATTGAGTTGTGCTTGGAAAATAAAGAAATTGTTATATAATGAATACTGAGAATTTTTATTTTATTATGCAGCCATAATATATAATATATTATATTTGACCCCTACATTTTGATGACAACAATGTTGAGACTCCAAACTATTCCAATAGCATGTTGACCTCTCATCTCTTACAAATAGTATCTCTCTCTCTCTTCGTGACTACAGCGAGCTTCTGAAATTTGATTGGGTATTATCCATAATCTTAGTCACCAATCTGTTACAAGTTTCAGTACAGCAATTTCTCCATTTTTGGGTAATTATACAGGGTAAAAATTAACCCTATTTCTCTGTAATTGGTTTGTCTTTCTTTCTGTTCCAGAATTGGAAAACATGGATACATCTTCCAACATAGACAGGTGCTCCGATTCTCGGATCAAGGAGACAATTCAGATGTTATTAAGAGACCTTTCAGCTTTGTACGATATTGCTACTTTTAACTAACTTTATTTTGGACCAGTTAATATTGTGTGCATTACCAAATAACTATATTGCATATAACAATTTGTTAAACATTAGAGTATGATATGAGTTGTTCCTGATGTTACTTACTTTCTTGAATTTTGATCTTTTCACAGATATCTGTATGTTAAAAATGAAAAAAACCTTTTATTGTACTGTACCTGAACTATGCAAGGAAGTAGTCAAAAATCTGTATTTGAAAAAAAAGTTCAATATTTGAAAGATATTGTGCTGTCTTATCATGAGTATGTTTTTTTTTTTTTTTTTTTTTTTTTTTTTTTTTTTTTTTTTTTTTTTTTTTGTTTTTTTTTTGTTTGGCTTTACTATTGTAATTTACATTTATAATTTTTATTTAGTAAGGCATTTATAACACATGTTAAATGCATTACATAATTCTCATGTCTTAACACTCGAGGTATTTAATATATTCCAAAGCCCCTTCGACTTAGTGACAGTTGCACAAAAGTCAAATCAGGCTTCAGTTATCAAATCAGGCCCCAGCTGGACCAAAGCTGGTAACTTTTTCTCGTATGAAAGGGTAGATTTTAGATGTGAAGTCAGAAATTCCCTATTACATACCTTTTTTTGAGGAAGCATCTTTACCCCTTAAGTGGGCGTGTCACAGCACTCAGTGCTGTGCTTATGATGCGTTAGCTTGATTGTTGACACCCATTTCCAGCAGTTATTTTGTGTATTCTCTTCTGAGCTCATTTCACACGTGAGACTTTCTCGCTGTCAGTCGTGAACGTTGCGCGAAGTTGAAAGATAAGTTTGGCCACACCCCATGCCCCATGCGCCCAAAAGTGTGTAAATACATATTCTTTCCGCTTTTTCTTTTGCAACTTCTCCGGCTTCAGCGTTTTGCCTGTTTTGCAACATAAGAATTCCTTTGCGATGTAACTGTGCATATGTATGAGTATTTTCAATGTGCAATATGGATGAAATTCCTATTTTTGTGGAACAATCATCCAAAGAAGAATTCATTGATCTTTCAAGCGAATCTTAAGGTGAAGATGAAATTATTCAAAAGAATGCAACATCATGACTGACAACTATTACAGTAGTTATCACTTATCTGAGTACCTGTTGAACAATGGAATCACATTTTTAGAAACAATGTCAAATAATAAAAAAGAAATACCAATGAAATTCCATGACAACAATTCAAAAGTGAGTTCTTCTTTGATTTGTTGAAGATGACTTCCACACTGTGTATACATATTTATATAGTAGCGCAGCTCAGCCAATTTTTTGGCTAGGTAGTGATGCGCTAGTGATCCTGGTGAAGATAAAGTAAAACTACGGATAGCTGCTGTTGAAGGATATGGATTTGTTTGTAAAATTTCATTTTTTTAAGAGCTGGTTAAAAATTTAAAATAAAATTCATATTTCTTGACGTTGTTTTGTAATCCTAGGATTTCAAGGGAAAGTCATTAAATTGCATGTAAAATTTGATAGAATTGTTTTAACCCCACATTTGACATGTATTGGAACACATTTTAATGCACCACTAAATTCTTACACTTTTCCAGTTAACACATTAATAACAATACATGTCTCGAAGGGAGTGCAGCTCTGCAATTAAATGCAGTGAAGGGAAGAATCCCGAGTTATGTTGTTTTTTATATGTCTAACAGACCTAGAAAGGAAACACAGAAACTTGTTTTTACCTCCTAGAGATCCTTATTTACTACTTAGTTTACTTTCATTTCTGGATATTTTCATGAACAATATAGAAATACTTGTCATTCCTCATGACAAGTATTCACTGTCCACCATGGACATCATTCTTTAAATTTAAATCATTTCTTTCCTAAAAATTGTTCAAATCATCTAGTTCACATTGTGTTTTAGTTATATGCGTATGAAAATTGTATATATAATTTTCATTAGATTATTGCAGAATTATGCTGTATTACAAATTGTAAGGCAGTGTAGTATTCTTAGATAGCCTCGCGGAGCACTAATGTCGCTGACCAACATGTGGTCAGAGGCTATTAAACAAGAAACTGCACTACTGTATAAATATGTATACCGTGACTTCACTCTAGTATCATAAGATACAAAAAGGGAAAAAAATGTCATATTGTTACCAATGCTTGACAATGGAGAACTTGACAAGGAAACAAGCAAGTTAACAATTATTCTCAACAACAATAAAACAAAGAGAGGTATTGATATGGACCAAAATGTGCATCTTACGAAACAAGAAAACCTTGAAAATAGCCTGTTTCCCTATTTTTTAAAATAATTGACTTAGTCGCCACAAATTCACAGGTACTTTTCTGAGCAAATAATCCTTTGGTGGACAGTTCCAGCAACTGTATTATTATTTTAAACACTTGAAATATGTACTCTTCACTTGTTATTTTGATACAGGTGTTCTTGTACCTGTCCATTCTTATTTTTTGCAAAAATATTAAATATTTCTTTTTAATGCATTATTTTTTATATATTTTAAAATTAAAAGTACTTGTATATATTCAGATTGTATTTTAATTAGCTTTCCTTGGCCGCTTTTAGGCATCACAAAATCCTACATACTTAATTTGTGCGGCACAAAGTGCTAAATAAATAAAAAAAGTTATGTACGATTACCAAAAAAATTGGCATAACGGGTGCGCACTTGGATATATTACAGAAAAAAAGTGTGTCTGCTCAAGGGTAAAAAAATATTGAAATTATAGTGAACTTAAAAAATGTTATTTCAAATGTTATGCTTAATTTTTATTTAATGGGACTATAATATTAGATACTCCTTGTATGTACTACTGAGAATCTATAATACATCACATAAGAATTTACAGACTTATTTAATACTTTTATGTAGAGGAAAAATACCTTTGTAATTAAATTATAGAAAAAATGAAAATTGCATATACCTGTAAAAAAATCTCTGAGAAATGTCAATTGTAGCCCATTGGTTCAGTTCCAAACCTGTTTACCTGAAGTAATCAAGTAACAAATTGGATTCCATCTCCCTTTATAACATTTTTCCATTCAGGCTTTCTGTTGGTAGAACAATTCATCTCTAACAAATCCAAGTTAAGAGCAAGAGAAGTCAAAATGCGAGAGTAAAAAATGAATTTTGGAAAGCATATTACATCCCTTGGCAAACATAATCATGGGATTTGCAAGGTCAGTGTAATTTTCAGTGCACTGGTTGGCCAGAAAATTGGTACAAACATCCTTCAAAGCCCCAGAGCTGCTTTTTCAAAATCACTCAACAACTTTTAGAAATTGGGGTCTTTCCTTAACTCGTGGATCTGAGGGTCAAAGAAAATCTCATATTTTTATTTTATATCACTCGGTGCATAAGCATTTCATTTGTAACTATTGGAATTCTTCACCTTGTACCATTGCGAATTTTTTCATTAATCCTAATTCGATGTCCAGTGGAGTTAGTAAAATGCTTTACTGTTAACTGAGGGTTTGTGAGAGACGCTTTATTCGAAGCAGCTCTGTATTTTTAAAAATTGATATTTTTGAGAAAAATTTGACTCTTTAAACAGACATGTAATGACAATAACTGAGACGAGTTTTCCATAACATCTGCATGGTATTTTGCTAGATGGTTTTGTGCTTCTTCGAAAGTTTCAATGACCGAAAGAGCTATCAAAACTTCTTGCTGAAGCACTGAAAATTGCCACCGTTTTTTTTCATTCCAACCCATTGTTGCTCCCAACTGTTTAACGGCAATATCTAGGCATCCATAGTTAACATTTGTATCTTTCTTCGCTGTCAGTGAGTCGTCAATCCTCACAGAGATCGTCAAAATGTCTTTTTTTCACTCATTTTCTCTAAATTCCACTTCTACTTTCCAGACCCCTTTATTTTTCAAATCCATCGTTAATTCCGAACAGTTTTCAATTCTTCGTAAGCTCCATTGCGTAAATTGTGCTGTTTGCAAATTCAAAGTAAGTTGAAGATATTCAGATAGATTATTATTTGATAGTATTTTGGAATGTAGTATTATGCGGAAAACCAATTCAATATTTGCCACTTCTTTTTTCAAGTTATGGGATTTATGCGCTTCAGATATTTTGCTAAAGCTTGCAAAATAAATATATCCAAATCTTGTAGCAATTAGGACAAAGGTACATATTGTAGGACAAACTTGTTTTAATGTAAGATAATTTTACTTTTAATCTAAATCCATCACTGTTAATAATATTATTTTCCACCTATTAATGATACGACCAAAGAAAATATAAATTCCACAGTAATATGTCTGAACTTTTAATATCATGTACGTGGCCTTGTTAAGCACGAGATTTAAATTATGAACAGTGCAATGCACAAACAATGCATTGTGAAATGTATCTACATTTTTTCTGCAAACAATTGAAAATTTCGTTAATAACTGCTGCGCCATCATATCCTTGACCTCTACATTTAGATAAACCAATGCCTTTTTTTTATGCATTTGACAATATCAAAAAGCATCCCTACTGCTGATTGATTGTTGACACAGCGCCATGTTAACGCACGAACCTGGGTCTGGGCGCCCAATGTTCAAGGGCTCCGGATAGCACTTTAATAAAAATATTTAATACTAAATTTAAAAAAGAAATAAATTTTAAAAAAATTGGCATAACGGAGTGATTTGGCGTGTGGCATTGGATAAATGTTAATAATTTGGAACGTTGCTGGGTGATGCGAGGATGTCACTCAGTGATAAGTTATATTTTTGAACAAAACCTGACTTTAATTACTTCAATATTTTTATTAAATTTATGTTTTAATTGATAGGATTTTCTTTATATTTCAGCATTGAAATTAGGGGGGGTATCAATGAAAGTAAGAATAGGAAGCTCCTAAAATAACCTAGGCCCAAGGGCCCCCAATCCTGTTATATCGGTCCTGCATTCTTCATTCTTAAATCATATGAAAGATTCCATTGTAATAGAAAACTAGTGGTGCTACAACAGCATGCACTTTCTCGCCATATTGCTATATAATATTATAATATGACCATTTGTCTACATTTCAACTACCATTCGAGTGTATTCACGTTCTACTTAAATGTGCCAACGACCTGCATGCGTATTTTAGCTGCAAAAAAAATTCTTAGTTTATATTAACGTCAACCATCGGTGACTGTCATTAGCGCCTTGTTATCAGTGTGGTGTTACTACACGCAATTTGGTCGTTAATACCATATGGAATACACATTTTGCAAATTAGCATTATTGATACCGCTAGCAACAAAATGAAAATGGGTAGAAAAGTAGAATTAAATATAATATTGTTATATTCATCAAAACTACTTGTTTTTACATACATTACTCGTGATTTCCACATCTTATAAAGCAAAGAGAAATCATTTATTCATTCTCAAATTTGCATGAAATGCAAAATTTTCCATAAAAAACAAAATTTATTGCAAAAATGCATAAAAAAAGGCATTGGTTTATCTAAATGTAGAGGTCAAGGCTATGATGGCGCAGCAGTTATTAACGAAATTTTCAGTTGTTTGCAGAAAAAATGTAGATACATTTCACAATGCATTGTTTGCGCAATGCACTGCTCATAATTTAAATCTTAATGTCTCTGTTCATTAATATAATCTGCGGTACTTGAAATTATTATTTCATTTTTTTCATTAAATGGTAAGAACACTATTTGCAACTAAAACTATGAAAATAAACTCTGTTACATTAATTTATCTCAATATTTTTCTTATAAATTCAAATAAATGTCAAGCACAAGCAAGGCCTCTAAGAATCTCTCCGATTGGATTCATGCTAAACTTAAATTCCACCAGTCAAGTATTTCTTAATTTTTTTCTAAGATTACTGGACACAAATCTGAAATCAAAGGTGGAAAGGTATTTTCATTTGAATGTTCAAATGTAAAGAAGCACGTTCTCCTTCAGGCCGTTAGGCTTTGCCTGCCAAGTTCAAGTTATAGCACAGAAGTTGCCATAATATGAGGAAGTATATGCGTGTGTTGCACCACTTGTTAAATTTGCTACAGGTAAGGTTCTCTTTCATCTACAAAGAACATTAAAGGGAATGATAAAGGACCGATGATGAATGGAAAATGAACCTGAGTAAAAGAATTAAAGAAAAAGGACATTGAAACATGACACCATATTATATTTTGTGATTAAAAGGATAACATTATTCAATGGCTCAAGCTTAAAGCACTTATTTATTCACAGCTTGCTTCGTGATAACCAATCCAACACCATAGGAGTGAAGTACGTAATGATACAGTCCGCACCTGCAAACAAAAAGAAAAAGAAGTTTCAAAACAAATCCAATGGGTACAATTTGAGGTGCAATACAAAAACTATTTTCTTCTCATATAGGTGTATACGTGCAACAGTTAAAAGAAGATAAAATCTATTTACATTGGTCACTGCACGAATAATGTCTAGACCCCTCCCATTGGTTGCAAATAGTAACCTTATATTTTCACGTTCAGATCAAAGTCAGAGCAGTAAAAATTCGGGCTAAAAATACATGTAATTCAATAATGCATACATCTCTAATATCTGATTTAGCTTCTTTGTATTTCTTTCTTGTATCTTGCAAGTTTTAATTTGTGTATTATACAACCTCTTCAATCATTTTTTGACTAAAATAATACGTGTCTCTGTCTGAACAACAGAAGCGGGTAAACAGTGAACAAATATTCACCAAACCCCATTATTCTGACTGATGTTGCGGCCTGTTGAATTTAAAATAAATATTTTGATTTTTTTGTTGTAATTTACATAAACCCTCCATATCTACAAATTTTTTATATTTCTTTTTCTCTGATAGAGTAAAAGATACATGAAAAAATAGCATAAGTAGCGTATTTGTTGCAATTTGTTGTTGTTCCCTCAATTTTTGAAAATTGAAAAAGTTTAAACTTTTTCAACTTCTTCCTATAATACCTTCAATTCCTCGTACAATAATGTACTTATTAAATTAAAAATTACATCTTTATACAATATTTAACGCGTTTTGTGCAATCCTGTCCTCAGAACTGACTCAAAAAATACAAACCATTAAAAATATTGTACTACAAAAATATTTCAAGAAGGAAACAAATGCGAAATAATACAATGAATGCATTCATACTTTGTCCATCCGAGACTATCAAGTAGAAACTTTCTACTTGACATCATATAGATACATGCAAAATCCAACATTTGCTGATGCAAATTGTTCATATTACAAGGGAGTGAATATTCCTAGTTACCAAATTTTGGCAAAAAATGCTCATTACTCCCTTTATTTTTAACTGAGCTTAGTATGGTAAATGAGGGGGAGATTTTGTGGAGCTCAAGAAAGCTGGCTGGGATCTCAACATCGCACATGTCAAAAGACATTAATTAATGTTTTGATGGTTGGCTAGTTTAGTCATTTCGGGCAGGTCATTAGTTTCGTAAGCATAGTACACGCTTTCCATCAGGAGAAGGCGGTGATCTCCCCAGCTGGATGGTGAGATCCGGCGCCGACCTACCGTCGGCACGCGGTAGGGTTTCACTCAACCAGGTATCTCCCTCCGGCATGTGTGGTAGAGTAGTGAATGTGTGTGTAAGGGGGTGAGGATAAGGAAGGGGATGAGGAAGGAAAGATCGCGCACAGTCCATGGCCCGTTTGTCGGGGTACTGCTCCGCCCGTGTGGCTCACCTGCCCTCCGCATCGACAGCAGGATCTCCTCCAGCGCCGCGCGCAGGTCGAGCGCGCCGGCCCGCGCCCCGTGCACCAGCATCGCGTACTCGCCCGACACCTGCGCATTGCAGAAGCAGTGGTCAAGGGCTAAAAGTTTTCCCTTCGATTTCTGGCAAAATTGGGTTGAGTACAAAACAAGTTAAATATCTGTTTTATTTTTAATAAAACGACCGAATTCATGTTGCCTTCTTTACGACAAAAAAGCGTTGGGTAATGTAGCCTAATTTGCTTAAATGTAGCTTACAGCTCAATAATCTAACCCTTGTTTTCTCCAAACTAAGATTTTTGACTTAACGTTTACTCCATGACCGCATTATGTGATGTGCTCGTTTAGTATTTCAGCCATTTATTTCACATTGTGGGCAAATCCTCTGTGATAGTAGCTATATATTTACTGACCATTTAATAATTGACTTGTAGATTAGAGTGATGAAAGCCCTTTCCTTGAATTAAATTCTAAATTAAAGGTGGAAAAGGTACCTTTTGGTGTAAAAAAGACGAAAAAAAATTTCGTGGAAATCGGATCATGTCTTACAATGTCACAAGTACGATACGGTTGTGCAAATTTGAAAGTTTTATATCTTTTCATCCCTTTTCTCCAGTTTTTATTTGCACTACAAAACTCTAGTACACAATATTTAATACTTTTGTTTGGTTGCAACGTTCTGTTAAACATACTGTACATACTTTTCTGGTGTCAAACATTCACACAATTCAAAATGAACATTTTACTTCCACACACTGACAAAGACATGTTTGGGATTAATAAATCCTGAAAGGCAATGACATTAATGTGAACATGAAACCTACAACTTCAGCATTGGGCAAAATTTATTTTACTCCTATATAGGGGCTACTTGCGTGGTGAAAGCTTCTCAGGTCACACACATGGCTATAAAGTAAATGTTATTGAGGTTGGCACTTGACATGTTTCTGCAATAAGTGTAGTTTCACAGTTTTTACAGCAAATATTTGAATAATGTTCAATAAATGACATTACTCAAATGTATTTTGAATATTCATTTTATAGATACAATTATTTGATTTAGAGTTTTTAACAAATTCAATGTGTTTTCGTATGAAGGGAAGACGCAGCAAGTGCTCCGTGGGGGTTCATATTGTGCTTATCGTGCTTGAAGTGCACATTACAGCATAGGTACGGTCATTTGAGGTTTGTTCATATTGTGTGTGTGTGTGTGTGTGTGTGTGTGTGGGTTTTTTGTGTGTGTGTAGAGGAGATTTAAATCTGCCACACGCAAGACTTTGGCAGCGAGCTCAGGAAGCGCGACTGTCACGGCGTCAACACTCAACACTTGTATAAAAGGGCCACACCTCAACAGCTGGAAGAGACCCGGAATAGAGAGATTATTATAAGAAGGGACCACTTTGGCATCTTCTGCTTGGCTACTGCTGCCAATATAACTGCAGATTATATCCATGCACACATTTTGTTAGTGTACTTGTTTTCCGTTAGCTCATTTGTAAATGGCTTCATCATTATCTCTTGCAATGTCATCGCCCTACATGACGTTCATTTGTTTCCCGACCCGTCAAACTGGTCCATTCTTAAGAGCAATTTCTCTCTCGTTAGTGGTACACACACAGATGCATGCAAGCATGTGCACATGTATATGCAAGTACATGTACAAGCACGCACACACAGATATAACAAACATTTAATGGAATTAATTTACTTCGATAATAAAATAATACTACCCACCTGATAAACGAACAGAGGGTATTGAGGAAACAGGTCCTTGGTCTGTCGCACAATATCCAGGTAGGCAAGTCCTGGCTTCACCATGAGCATATCACAGCCCTCTTCCACGTCTCTTTGCTGCACATATAAGAAATTTAAGAGGCACAATGTTTTACTAGTCATTACAATAACTACAATAGGTCATTTTCTGCAATTTATCAAAGTAAAACCAGTAACTAATATGCGCTTTAGCTATTCTGCCTCCAAAAATTAGCATATCACTTGGAAGGATTGAGGAAATCAACAGTAGGTGATCCGCTCTCTAGAGAGCACCATTGCTTAATTTTTACATTTTTGTGGGTTCTGCATAACGCCTTTCACTCGAGGGATCAATTCCACTGATTTAAGTTACATTAAAAATCTACAGCTTCAATATTGGAACATATTCATAGATATATTTGACCTCGCTGATCCTGTGTGATCACTTCCCACAAAAGGAAAAAGTGTAGAGAAGTAACAACAGTAAAGTTCAAAATATGCTCTATAAGGAAAATTGAATCCCTAAAGAATGTTGTTTCATGTCATTCAGCACTAATATTCTCAGACATAAAAACTGAGGGAGGGTTACAAATTCTGGAACAACACAATAAACATTCACTGTTAACACAGAGTTAAACATATTTCTGGCAATGTAATTTAAATATTTTATATTTTCCCAGATTAAGACACATGTATTATAGTGATATATTCCAGGAAATCCTGCTATTCACCTCGACTCCGGTTCTAGAGAACTCAGATCCAAAAGGATCTCATACGTTAGGGGAGTCCTCAGAGAGTGGGGCGGTGTTCCAACAGTGCATTGAAGGGTGTCAAGACTGCATTACGATACTTAGAGACAGTTGACGATGCAGAATCAATTACGGAGAGGGCACAAATTCTGGAGAAGGATTTCGAGAAATTGCTAACGAAAAATATTCGAAGCACACATTAAAAATAATTGATTTTTAAAGACAAATAAAGGCTGAAATTTTTAGTTCATGTTGTTCATGGAGATATTCTATTCAATTTTGACATCTTCAGATGCACTGAACCTCTGATGCAGTGAACCAAAAATATTAGTCCTCAGAGGTTCTCTATAATCGGGGTGGTCCGTTGTCGCCAGGAGAGGGCGACTCAAGGCCCCATTCCGACGTGGACACTGCCTCACGCTTCGATAAGCGGCGAGGCACTTCCCAAAGGGTTACCACCGCTCACTGTGGATGGGGGAGGGTTTTGCGGGGGTAGGTTTCGCCGATCCATCGGCGACTACGAACAAAAAAATGCAGCGGCGAGTGTCCTAGTGGGAAACCCTGCATTTAAACCAATGCTTTGCTAGCGGTGGCGCGGACGCCATCCCGGGCTCGTCGTGGCTAGCGTCTGGAAGACACCTCCGCACGTGGGGAGATCTCCATGTAAACCAATGCTCTGCTACCATCCGCCGTGTTGGGCCGCTGTGTCTACGTGTGAAGGGGCCCTGCGAGGGGCGTGGGCAATCACTAAGGGGCGGGAGGCTGTGTGACAAACGGGAGATGTTGCGAGCGGGGATCGAAGCAGGGCGCGTAGACGGTCTTAAGGGATTCGAGAGCATGGACTCACCACCATCTGTTAGCGCTAGCGGTGTCTCAGGAGGTCTTGTTAAGGGAGCCGTGAGCGAGGACTCACCACGGCGCGGTGCGCCAACTGTTGGCGCTAGCAGTCGTGTTAGGGGGGTCGTGAGCGTGGACTCACCACTGCGCGCTGCGCTATGTGTTGGCGCTAGCAGTGTCTGAGGAGGTCGTGTTAGGGGGGCCGTGAGCGTGCACTCACCACGGCGCGCTGCGCTATGTGTTGGCGCTAGCAGTGTCTGAGGAGGTCGTGTTAGAGGGGGGCCGTGAGCGTGCACTCACCACGACGCGCTGCGCTATGTGTTGGCGCTACCAGTGTCTGAGGAGGTCGTGTTAGGGGGGCCGTGAGCGTGCATTCACCACGGCGCGCTGCGCTATGTGTTGGCGCTACCAGTGTCTGAAGAGGTCGTGTTAGGGGGGCCGTGAGCGTGCACTCACCACGGCGCGTCGTGCGCTACTGTGTTGGCTAAGCATGTCTGAGGAGGTCGCGTTTAGGTGGGCCGGGAGTCGTGCACTCACAACGTGCGCGCTGGCGCTGTGTGTTGGCGTAAGCAGTGTCTGGGAGGTCGTGTTAGGGGCCGTGAGTGCACTCAGCACGGCGCGCTGCGCTATGTGTTGGCGCTAGCAGTGTCCTGAGGAGGTCGTGTTAGGGGGGCCGTGAGCGTGCACTCACCACGGCGCGCTGCGCTTGTGTTTGTTCGCTAGGGGCACATGGTCTGAGGGTAGTGTAAGAGGGGGGCCGTGCGTGCATCACACGACGTCGGCTGCGTCTATTGTTGGCGCGCTTACCAGTGTCATGAGAGTGTTCGTGTTAGGGGGTGAGCGTGCAGTTCACCACGGCGCAGCTGGCGCTATGTGTTTTGGCGCTACCAGTGTCTGAAGAGGTCGTGTTAGGGGGGCCGTGAGCTGGCACCTCACACGGCGCGCTGCGCTATGTGTTTGGGGGCTAGCAGGTCTGAGGAGGTCCGTGTTAGGGGGGCGTGAGCGTGCACTCAACTCACGTGGCGGCGCTGCGCTTAATGTGTTGGCGCTAAGCAGTGTCTGAGAGGTCGTTAAGGGGCCGTGAGCGTTGCATCATCACGGCGCGCTGCACTGTTGTTGGCGCTAGCAGTGTCTGAGGAGGTCCCGTGCTAGGGGGGCCGTTGAGCGTGCACTCACGCACGGCGCGCTGCGCCAGGCCGCGGGCGCCGGGAGGCAGCTGGTAGCGCGAGCGGTCGCCGAAGGAAGGCGCCGACTTGGCCGCGTCGCGGAAGGGGCCGTACAGAGAGGAGCAGAACTTGGCCGAGTAGGAGAGCACGGCCACGCGGTTGCCGTAGCCCGCGGCCGCTAGCCCCCGCTTGATGGCGCCCACTCGCCCGTCCATCATGTCGGACGGGGCCACGATGTCGGCCCCTGCAACACGTGCACCTCAATGCCGTCAACACATTTATTCTTTCTCGCTATCGCTTACGCAGTAGGCAGTTTATGTAATGCTGCGGGAAAACGGCGAATTACCGTCAGGAAAACTTCCAAACGGTAAATCCAGTTGCTAAATTTAAGGAAGAAAATCTTCTAACCCGTGGTGTAGCCAGAATTCATTGTTTTGTTGGACCTTGACACCGCAAATCGATCGATGGCAAAAAGTTTGTCAGCATGCCTGTGAACGAAGCTAGTGGCTAAACCGTTCAGCCGATTTTCTCTAAAATTAATATTCCCCAATCGATCTGGCTAATGACGCGGCCGCTTGAATTTGAAACCGATATTTAATTTTGGGGGGTTCTTTACGTGAAACGCCTGGGACATTTTAAAAAAATGGCTCCAACGTTTTGATTAAATGTAGTTGTTGGATAAATCGCAGTGTATAATATTAAGTAACCGTCACTAAGTGCGAGAAAGTAAGTGCTGTTGTAGCACTAGTTCCTAAATAAATTATTTAAAATATAATTTTGAACTTCGATAGCAATAATCGCTACGCAATCGTAATCAATTAAAATTTTGAATCCTCAACAACTCTTTTATCTTAATTTATAAGAAGCCATCACCAACATGTTAATTAATTTGTATCTTTTATTATTTTACGAGGAAGATTTCCAAAGGACCGGGAAAATCGTAAGTTCACCCACCTGCTTTGGCGTAATTGACAGCCACTTGGGCCAGCCGGGCAATGCTCTCTTCGTTGGCGATTACACCGTCCTTCAGGATACCACAATGGCCATGACTGGTGTAAGCACATAGACAAACCTACAAGACACGTTTAAAAGTTTTATTAATTAAATGAGGGATTTTAATGTATAGAAAATATAGATAATTCTACAAATACTGACAATGACAAAAATACGTAGATCAAACAAAAATATAACAGAGTGTGATGTATTGAGAAACGAATTAGCCTTTTCAAGGAATTTAGAAGCGCCTCTGGTGCCCATATATCTGAATTTATTTCGATTGTTAGAAATGGTAATCATTTCTTACTTTTACAAATGAAACAAACTTGAATAAATTTGAGTTACAGTATTTGCAACACATTAAACAGAGAAGGAAGAATAATTCCACACATGCATTGATTATTTCGAAGTGAACATAATCAACGGTCAACATTTCTTAGTTTTAAGTTAAATCTATTACCTTTCTTAACTCTTATTTTCGTTCATAAGAATATTATCTATACCATACGATCATCACGATCGCGAACAAGGACAAATATTCTAAGAATTTCCAACCGTCGTGTTGCCATTTTGCGGACAGACAGCGCATCAAACGAAGCGCACGAAATTCGAATTCACAATTTCGATTATTTGATGCAATTTTTCAAAATACAGAGTGTGCCGAAAAATGGAAGCGCCATCACTACCGTTCTTTGCTACATACGTGTAAAAAAGTAAAGAAAAATGTAGAGCAGTTTTTAAGAAAATAAAATTTGTCTTTTTCAGGAAAATCATGTTTTTGAAATATTGAATATAACCTTATTTGAAGACCTGCTTTTCAAGAGCGGATTTAATTAAGAAAAAAATATATCTTCATTATTGTATTTTTAATAAGACGCAAAAAAATTAACTTTTGCAATATTCGAAAATTCAGAGTTCAACGAAAATGTGACCTATTTCAAATGTGTTTTTCTTTATATATATAAAAGTACTCATAAAATTTCAATGATACTCACATCACAAGCAATGATCAATTCCGGGAACCACCTACGAAGTGACTTAATTGCAGAAATAATTGGATTCTGCTCCGCATCGGCACCACTGCCAGAATTATCCTGCAGAAAAGGTTGAAAATGAATTCAAATTCAATTTTACTACTAATATTGCTACATTGTAGTTGATTAAGTACAATCTATCAATTACATTAAATTGAAGTAATGTCAACAAAACAAAACTCATTGAAGGGGAATATTTACACATATAGTGTCAGCTGGTGCTTATGCTGACTCATAATCTTGAAATTATTTAATCGAAAACAACAAACTAAAAGAAAAAAAAACTGAAAATTATCACGAAATCGGAAATCATCAATTTTGTGCTCCCTAGGGACAACAAAATAAGGTTTTCAGGCTCTAAAAAGCTTCGTTTCCGAGTTAAGTATCATGTACAATAGTAGTATGCGGTAGTGATGCGACATCGATGTTACCAAATAGCGTTGTTCAAAATTAAAACATCATTGCGAATAATACTTCGACCGTAAACTATCGACGTTTTAAAGCTGGTTTAGTAACTTCTAATATTAAATTCGTTCGCAACATTATGTAATTTGACAGTGTCCATGTTTATTAATTATACGCAATATTTAAATCAAAACGAAGTTTAAAAAATTTCTTAAAACAAAGGACAAAACGACAAAGTCTGAGCGCCCGGAGACATCTCAATTGACCAGTCTTCAGTTCGGCGAAGAAGGGTAAGGGGAGAACGGGTAGGCCCTCTAGTGCCACAGCTTATGCGTTGACCGCATCTCCTCACATTTTCCATTAATCTCATTCAATATTCACGATTTTGCAGTAGGATCTATGTACATGAAATCATTTTGAACCAAAGAGCTCCCAACGAGCGCTCTCCCAGTTATTGCACATAGCCGTGCTCTTTGGCTCTATTACTGCATTTTTTTTTTCGGCTGTAAGCTTCAACACAAGTTTCTACAGGGCTTTTGGTTCCACAACCAAAGGGATGGGGGTCTTGTCGCCGAACGCTTAGCGGACACTAATTTTCTAACACCTGACACTAGCTGTAACTTACTTTTATGAATTTCGCGTGACATTTAAAGTACAGAATTTCAGTCAATCATTAACAGTATTGAATGCATTATTTATGGGTTGGAGAAATTTTCCTTTTATATTAGGTTTGTTGATTCAAAATGTACAATTGTGTAAAGTTGGCCGTTCTGAAAGGAAGTCCCTTCGTTTCTCTCACGGTACACATTTCCCACTGAGTTACATTCTGAGACTGAGAGCGCTGGTGTAAATACAAGTGTGTAGAAGATCTTTCTTTATTACAATATATACCAGGGTAGTGAAATTTTATAAATAAAATAATTTTATTTGTGTAAAACGTGTCCAAATAATAGTGCTAGTTGCAAAGTGCTGCAGTAAGATCGCCGTATTTTCGAAATTAAGTATTTTTTTTTTGTATGAATTTTATTCCCGTCAATTGTATAAATGCGCGAGCGCAAGTGGTGTATATATTTGACACGGACACTGCGCATAAATGTATGTAATGTTTGAATATGGTCTTTTATTAACATCAATTTTAATTAATTTACATGAATTGCTTCCATTTTATTATAAATATGGCTTTTGGAAATTACATTTCCGTCATTCGATGAAGCTGCAACTTCCAGTTTGTTGGGATATCAGCCTCCACTGCTCCATGTGCGAAACACGAAAGACGTTGAAAATACCAGGGCATTAAAGTCAACTCGGACGACATATTGTTTGCTCGATGAAGGCGGTACGAACAGTGTTGGCTGGTTCGAACACATAAACTAATAGTGCTAAAAAAATTATTTCTTATTTTCTCTTGTGCAATTTGGGGAATTTTTCATCAGAAAAATCGAAAATGAAAAAACATCGAGCACTACGTATCGAATTTTGAAAACATCGTCATGCTTACAAAAGTTTTCTCCTCATATAATAATAGATAGATTATTGCATATGTGAGACCGGGGGATTTAAATGACAACGTATGTAGTTTCTCAAAGACTCGCAAGTTTTCTAAGAAAGCGAGCTCCAATTTGCGCTTTTTCAGAAATGTTCAAACGCAATTTGATTGTCTGTACCGAAGTTTTCCTTTGCATTTTTCCTTGGGATAGTGTTAAAAACATCGTAAGCAACGCATTTTTGTTTTTGCAATTTTCGAAAATACGGAGAGTTTGTCGAAAACGGGGCCAGCCCCCTTCTTTTTCGTTCTTGTCTACGAGTGACAATAACATTTATAGAAAAGAAATTGGAACCGTTTCTGAGAAAACTATTCTTTATGTTTCAAGAAAATTTACGTAAAAGCTACTCAACTTTTCGAAAATTGGAAGATGACCTTATTTAAGATCGATTTTTGATGAACAGATTTAATTTAAACAAAAAAACTCATCTTCAATATTGTAATTGTTGGAAAACGCCGAAAAAATTGTCAACGTGTGCGATTTTCGGAAATTCATGCAGTTCAACGAAAATGCGACCAGCACCACTTTTTTTTCCTACACACAAGGAGGGGGGAAATTGTCCAGTTAAAAAAAGTGTTTGTGAAAATTGTTTGAAAATTGCCCATGTTTCGCGCAATATTACGCAAAAACAACTCATATTTCCGAAACACATTTTGCCGTCAATCAATTATCCGCTATGAAGGTCCAACATGGTTTCTGCCTACACATGTTAGTAATTTAGTATATAGGAAAAAGGTGTATCCACCTTTTCGTAACCATAACTTGGCAAATGAGTTTTAAGCCGAAAAATCGCCGTTTTCTCCGCAGCATTACAATACTTTCTGTGTGCTGTGTAAGCTATTCGCATGAAAGTAAAACGGAATGGATAAGGGGGGCCCCCCTCTCGTCTTCGACTGCGCACGCCTAAAAAAATTATCTGCACTTTTGATCATTTATGTATGTCAACGGCTATGTGAGGGTTAATAGTTTGGGAAGGTACTGTTCCTATGATTATATTTTAGAACCACTACTTGAAATTTCTCAGAAAATGCTTAAACATATCTTCATAAAGTCAAAATTATTGCCTTCGAAATTTTAGTGACTTCAACCTAACATCCCCCCCCAGGAAAGGCATTGCAAAAAACTTTCCTCATTCTTCAGCACCTTCTAATAACTGGTCTGTGGAGCTGCGCTATTGCAATTTCAGTTTTTAAAAAGAAATTAAAAAATTGCCAAATATAAATGGCAAAATGTTTAATCCTTTCAAAATTTTGTATTGTCACTAACACAGATTGTAAATATTTTAGAAATTGGATCTTAGTGAACAGACCCCAAATCATAAAAGCCTATCATCTGGTACTGTGACTACTATTGGTAAAAACATTACGTAATATGTAAACAGACAATATAATTAAGAGTTTCATTTCATATTAAGTTTATTTTGCATTTTAGATAGTTTGTATTGTTTTGTAGGTCCTTAAACAGACTATAACTAGTTCATGTATAATTATATTTATTTTTTTACAACCTGTAATAAATAAATAAGTTGTATAATTCAAGGTTTGAGAACTTACTTTCACTAAATTCTCTGAAACACCAAACAATAACACCGATCTTAACCCCTTAGCAATTAATGGCTGCAAGACTTCCTTCAAGTTGGAAACACCATAACGAGACACCCCTGGCAAGCTGGCAACGGGAGTAGGTTCATGTTTGTCTCTGAAAGAAAATTCAAAAGTATATTCTGCTGGGACAGCAGAATCCTACTTTTTTCTCACCACAATTGTTAAAAGGAACCATTCATAATTATATCAGAAATTTGTTACTAAGACAGAATTGTACATTATTTATGAAAAAATACATTACCTTACAAAAGATATTAACCCCACAAAAACAAGTTTGAAAGCTTTTAAATAAAAAATTATGTATAAGCAGAAATAACATGCCTTTTACATTATTATTTGCAAGGAACAAACATTTCTATTAAATCAACATGTTTTTATTGTTAATAAATTAAGTTTATTTACGCCTGAAGATACGTTCAATCTGGGGAACACAAAACTTTGCAACATTTTAAATTTTGTAATAAATTCCACGGATTTATGCATTTTTTTTTTTTCTTTTCATTATTTGAGAAATATTTCCTATTCAAATCGATTAGGATTGTCTAAAATGTAAGAAAAGAATAGTCATAGTATATTAAATCAGATCACTTCTGAATTTATTTACCAGCATGAATTTTTCATATACCAACATTAAACAAAACTTTAAAAAATTGCTGACCACTCACGTCACAAAGAGAGGAAACATAAGATTCTCAGGCTTGATAGTCACATTGGGACACTGCCAAGCCCTGAGAACTGGGTGAAAGTACCCACTATGCAGCACATGTTTTGCTTCCATTCCTTTCGACATCATTTTGACACAGGCGAAACGTTAAAACGCTGTAACTCTCTACACCAATCCAACAAGTTGCTATTTGTGATCACAGTGGTAAATGCCAATTCATTCCTTTCAATTGGCCATACGTTGTTACTATTACAAATACAGTTTCCTGTCAAACATTAAAGAACATGGGTAGATATTTTCATACATGAACTTTAAACGCTGTTAAATGTTTGCTAATGGAACGAAGTGCGAGAGGCAGAAAGTCTGTCAATTAACACTGATTAACACGCTCATCCCAAACAGAGCAGAACTAGAACTGTGGGATGCGCACCCACCCGAGAACTATTGCCGATTTAAATATTGTGACGTTTTGACAGATCATCAGCTGTGACGCAATTATCCAATCGGGTGCTCCAATACCTAAAATTAAAGTTATAACAAAACTCACGATTAGGTAACAGTGTCCAGTTGATTGATCTATCAGAAGTCACTATAACTAAGTTCTACAGTAATTGCACAGAGGGTTTCAATTCTATCCTGACAATGTAATGCTGTAAAGCTTCTTTATCCTGCCGTTCGCTACGCTGCTGTAGTAAGACAAACAGTAGCACCAACGTATTTTCACGTTTTATTCTCAGGTTTTATGTTGGCTGTAGTTTTGATAATGTGCTCGCGGCAAATTTTAAACGTCCATTTGAAAAACCAGTTTTACCAGTTTTCAGAACTATTTACCATGGTGCATGGATGATCTCCTTGCATCATCCTTTTAACACGTTTTTTGACTTTTTAAGTCCCTTTACATTGTTTTAAAGCTTGCACTGAGTCTTTGGCCGCATTGACAAATTCGTTTTTGGGTGTGATGTATTTGGCGCATGATGGAAGGACATGGGTGTACTGCTTTGCCATGCTGATTTTTGCTCGTTCAGCTCAGCACCAAATACATAAAATCCACACCATTGGGACTTCATTTGAAAAGGCAGGCCAATGCGACATGATGACAAGCAAACTGTGCCAACAAATATTTCCAAAGTGGTATAAAGTGACAGTTTTCTACTCTCATCAACCAAAAGTAACATTATGAAGGTGTAATTGAAATAAGTAAGTATATTATAACGTTTTTCTATACAATATTTTGAGGCTAAGGTTTGTATATATGCGTACCTGAAATCTTAAGATTCGCCTGCAATACTCTGAAAGTTCTAAATGGATTTGAACGTAGGATTGCAAGCTTGGGCAACGTGCAAACTTGTGTGACAGACACAGAATTTTGAAGAATCTTTAAAAAAAATTTCATTCAACAAACAATATTTTGATTTTAAAACGTGAACTTAAACTTCTGCAATGCCATTACCATTGGACTGTAGAGAAATCTTATTCTTTACATTGTGAAAAAGTGGGTAACTTCAAAAACCTATAGATACAATATGTGTCGCACCCATGGTAATGGGAGCGGGTGGGATGGAGGCTTCAGATCCCCAGAAGCCAACCATACATATTCAAAAATATAGCTTTTACTAATTTTCGTACTAACGAAAGTCGTACAATTTCTCATTTAAAGTTAAAATTTAATTTTAATTACAATTTAAAGTTGTAAATAGTATCTACAAGCCAACAAATAAAGATATACTTTATAAGCAGCATAAAAGAAAAATCTTTCAGGCCTATAAGAAAATATTAGAGTTAGCTGGAGGACCTCTCGAGGTTTCCAAAGTCTCCTTAATCTGTCAATGCTGTTTTCTCTATCTGGAAATTAAATTGTTGTAATTTGTGTTCTTGAGAATTCAAATAATTCAACCCTGAAATAACTTGGAGTTGAAATGGAAATGAGGCATGTATATTTATGAACATTAGAAGCAGGTATTTATATAAACTTACAGAAACTTCTCTTCAACATACACATACATACATAGTCATTGACAAGTAGTATACAAAATTCACAAAGAATGATGTTATTATACTTGAGACAGAGGCAATATGAAGAGTTATTACAATTCTGTTAACATTTTTTAAAATGCTCTTCAGTTAAACACAAAAAAATGGTACATACTAGGCCGCAGATCTATATGTCCAGTGCCATATTTTGGCAAATAGTGGACCCTAGTATATTTTGACTTCATTATGGCCGAGTAACACTGAAGTTTGAATTAGATACTTATAGTTAAGTTGTAATCTAGAGACATTTTGCCTTAAAACTTATTTACAGTCTGAAAGACAAAGGACTACTTTCTTTTGAGATCTTCATTTACCACATTATAATACAGTATCTATAAAAAAATGAGGTACCAGAGAAGAGGAATTTGAAAAAATTAATTATAAGTTCGGAAGACTAAAGAGCAATAACTATTTCCAGATTCAAACAAAATATTTACAATTTATTGCACCATTCTGTTGAAAATAAGCAATTAAAGTGTAAGAATCAAGGGTGAGGAAAAAAGATTTCAGGAAATATTTCACAAGATTTCTGTGCAAAATTTTCAAAAAAGGGCAAATTAAAGCCATTTTAGATGAAAAGCATAGAGTTTAGAGTCAAAGCATAGGGTCAACAGAAAAGTTTACTCTAGCCATTTCATTAAGAAGTATGAGTTCCAAGTCATACAGGTAGGTACTTGAGCAAAATACTAAAATTGACAGCACTATCAACATTAGGTCATTGAGTTGCCGATAATGATAGTTTAAAATGGATCCAGGGATGAACTTTAGGAGGTGAAATTTATTTATTTAAAATGTTTTGGTTGAATGAGTCATATTACACATTATGTAGGATGACACAGGCTAAACTCAGCTAATGTTGCGATTCAATTTTATTCGTTTTAAGTATTACACAAATAAATTTTTGCTCAAAAGTTTTGTGACAAGTTAAAATTATTAGTTATGTTAATAGTTAATTTTGGGAGGGGAAATTTCCCTCCTCGGGGATCCGCACCTGGCTTAAAGCTGCATTGTGGATAGTTGTCATTGCATTCACACTTGAGAAGGGCAAGGTACTTCACTTGAATGGGCATGCTCCATATCATTTTATAAAATTAAATTACAAACAATGTAGAATTTTATAATTATAAAATTAATAATTACAAAATTGCTGTAAACTACAGTCTCTAAATTGATTGCCAAATGATTACAATATGTAGTGTTTTTAGATGTTGGCCTAACCTGATTTCTATTTAAAATTCTGATTGTCCAGTAAAAAAGGAATCAAATTGTGTCGAAACTGAATTCAACAGTATTTACAGTGGTTTATATTATCAGTAACATTGTATCAAAAAATGTAAAATTTTGGTACGATCTGGGGGTAAAATGAGACAGTTGTCACTTAGATAATTCAGATGAAAAAGAACCCAGAATGATACATTTACAAAATATTTCAATTGAAGGGCCGCAGATCTATATGTCCAGTGCCACATTTTGGCAAATTGGCCATTTGGCTTTTGCAGATTTTCTTTATATTTTGAAGTTAGTAAGAAATCGTTTTCATGACAGTGGTTTCATTATTGAAGGTTTTCATATAAATAAGGAATGTACATGGAAGAAAATGTGACATTTAATCAAAGCTCTCCCAATCGAAGGGTTCTGGAGTGGTGCTATACACCAGTGTACATGTAATAAGTATAAGATGCTGCAATAAGATGTTTATGGATTCCAGCGAATTTCTGTAGCCAGAAATTTTGCAAGCAGTCGGACCCTGGAGCTTTCCAATTGAATGTTCCTGCCAGGGCTGATTTCATATTTTTTTCATTTATTTCCCAGTTTAAGATGGATTTCAACTTGAAAATTCGCTGCTTTTCATTGCTTTGCCACTTTCTTCTTTTTTTCCAATGTATTGACCCCATATATTTTGCCAGAAACTGAAAGTGTCCTCGACGTTGGGTGTGATACGTCTGACCAAATCCCCATTGGATACTGTCGTTCTCAGCCTTCTGCAGGTCTTTCAGTTGCTTCTGAATTGGTTGTTGTCCCTGAAATGTGCCTCACTTTTTCGGTATCGTTTTAATCTCTTCACCGGCCTTTGTCCAGTTCAGTGTTCTCCTGGGTCTTCAGGCGTTCCACGACAATTGCACCAGTTCTCCTTACTTTAGCAAAATCATTTTATTTTGGGTATTGAGACAGAAAGTCAATATTTCTTTTGATCTGGACAATCTGAAACAATAATTAATGTTAACAAATAGGTACCCGGTAGGGATCACGTGAGAAAATTTGGATCACAAGCTTGAATATTTTTTCTGTACAGATTTGTTTGAGAGTGTTGTAAATCCACGTGATTTTCAGCTTATTTTCCATAGCCTTCCACCTGCAAATTTCTTTACTCATTCCATGATTGCGGGCTATGTTAATTCTCAGAACTAATTTTTATCGCGCAGATTTCTCTAGGTCGCAAAGCTACGTAATACATCTGTAGGTTGGACTTTTCAACACCCTGCAGTTCTTTCGAACACACTAAATACTTCGCCATTGTTCCAGTGTCTAAAAAAGGAAACCTTTCTTCCCAAACCGAAAGAAAATTAATGGTTGCAGATGGCCTCCCACTCATGTTCCCTGCAACATCGGCAATGGCCCACTGGTTTTCGTTATCGGCGACCGCCGTCGGCCCCCCCCCCCTCCTCTTTGCTCGCACTGCTTCACCAAGCGCCTGCTCACGCTAACGGAGGGGAAGGCGGTCCTGACGTCATGTCTCCTCCAGTAGGCAATCGCCGTGCTAACCATATGTACCCCTTAACCTATGGTCGCAAGGCCGGCCCATGGCTGCAATGGCCCAGACTTCGTCAGAAGCTACCGCACCAAAGTACATACATACATACACACTCAGAACCCATTTGATCAACCCCAGCCATTTCTTAATTAAACGTTTGGAACACGTATGGTATAATTATACATTTTTTTGTCTCTTTTCATTACACTACTGTTTCGCTTTTCCTAGTGGTTTAATATTGTCATAATTTGTTCCCATGATATAAACGTTATTGTCTATCCAAATCAAAAAATCTCATATTTGCTGTGAAAGCAATAAAAAACAGCTCTTCTGGTAGATCTTTCTCTCTCTCTGTCTATCTCTCTCTCTCTCTGTCTGTCTCTTCTGTCTGTCTCTCTCTCTCTCTCTCTCTCTCTCTCTCTCTCTCTCTCTCTCTCTCCCGCTTATGTAGTAGGGAGAAAGTTATGTAATACTGCGGGAAAACGGCGAACTTTCGTCAGAAATCTCTTATTGCTGGGACTTGGTAACGAAAAAGTTGCTAAATTTGGAAAAAAGTATCTAGTATGTGGTGTAGCCAGAATCCATGTTCATGGGTCTTTGATACTGAAAAATTGATTGACGGCAAAACGTCTGTCCGTCCGTGGACAACGCTAGCGGCTAACCCGTTCAGCCAATTGTCTCCAAAATTGATATCTCCGATTAATCTGGCTGATGTGGAAGGACCTAGAATTTAAAACCAATATTTGAATTTGAGGGGGCCCATGAAGCTCCTGGGACATTTTAAAAAAATGTTCCAAAATGTTTTATTGAAATTTTTATTTCGGATAGCTGAGTAGACGCTTTACAGAAATGTGCAGATCGTTGAAAACCCCGTTTTTTTTG